CTGGGACCATGACCTGAGCGGAAGGCAGACGCCTAACTTGCTGAGCCACCCAGGCGCCCCTGAATAATGCATCTTGATGCTGTTTCCAGATCAACACAGGTCCCTGCTGCGTTCTTTCTGCTCTTACACCTGGTGCTTAGGGAAGATCTTTGCACATGAAGCTCAGCGTCCTTTGTGGTGTTTCAGTGTGGCTGCCACCAAAGGGAGTGCAGCAGGCACAAGCTACTCCAGTCTATCCCAGGTGACTGGTTGGAAAAGGACAATCCAGTTCCCTTGGTTCACTTGGGTTCCTTCAGAAACCTCCTGGGACACTGATGTACAGCCAGTGGGTCTCAGCAACAGCTCGGGAAAGAGCTGCTTGCAGCTGAGGAAGGCGACACCGCTCTCTGTTCACGTGTGAGAGGAAGGGTTCCTGTGGCAAAGCAAGAGTCCTGTCCTTGCACTCAGATCCGCCTGCTGTCAGCCCCTCCGCTGCCAGGCGTGTACGGAAGGCTCATGGCAGGAACGGGAGATGTGTAGACAGGGGAGCAGACACGGGCACCGGAGAGGCATGCATGGGGCGGTGGGTTTGACTGCCAGGTTATTCCGCAGGTATTGGAAGCTCCCTGCTCACGAAGACCAACAGGAAGCAGGGCATTCAGAGCTGCCGGCCTCGGGGTGCACAAGAACACAGTCATGTGGCCAAGTCGGGGTTAAAAAAAAAATGACCACAGAGCCCACGGCTCAGAAATATGAACAATAAAGCCATCTTACGTCTTTGCACTTTGCTGCCTCAAATCCTTTTTGAAACGATGGAGGGGTTAAACTCTATTTTGAAATCTTTCGACGGAGCATTTTTCCAAATACCTATTCTATTTGTTCTCTCATTTGACCCCCACACCAACTCAGCAAGTAGGCCGGTGCCACTTTCTGCACCTACAGGATGGCACATGTGCAGGGCCACGATTCACCCAAGGTCAGCGGGCCAAGTGTTTTTTTTTTTTTAAAGATTTTATTTATTTGACAGAGAGAGACACAGCGAGAGAGGGAACACACGCAGGGGGAGTGGGAGAGGGAGAAGCAGGCTTCCCACGGTGTAGGGAGCCCGATGTGGGGCTCGATCCCAGGACCCTGGGACCATGACCTGAGCCGAAGGCAGACGCTTAACGACTGAGCCACCCAGGCGCCCCATCGGGCCAAGTGTTCTGACTCCGAGCACCGGGCTCCTTCCTGGATTCTCCCTGGCACCCCCCAAGTCCAGGGCCAGCTCTCCAATTTCAGAACCCTCAGCAAGAAGAGCCAGAAAAGAAGCCAGAGATAGAAATATGAAATATGCCCTCCTCAGGAATACCCGAGATCATGAAAACTACCTTTCCTAACAAAAATTTAATGAACTGGGTCTCTTGCTGCAGCAACACGAGTGGGAGCACCAGGCGCCGGGCTCGGAGCAGAACTGCACAGATCGCTTTAAGAAAATGGCAGACAAGCCGGACATGGGGGAAATCGCCAGCTTCAATGAGGCCAAGCTGAAGAAAACGGAGATGCAGGAGAACACCACCCTGCAGACCAAAGAGACCACTGAGCAGGAGAAGCGGAGTGAAATTTCCTAAGAACCTGGAGGATTCCCCACCCCTGTCATCTCCGAGACACCCCAGTCGTGATGTGGAGGAAGAAGAGTCAGCTGCAAGATGGACACGAGCGACAAGCTGCACTGTGAACCCGGGCACTCCGTGCCGACGCCACCAGCCTGCGGGTCTCTGAGGGGACCCCCCCAATCGGACTGCCAAATTCTCTGGTTTGCCCTGGGATATTATAGCAAATTATCTGTATGTTTAATGAAAATAAAACACACCTCGTGGCAAAAAAAAAAAAAAAAAATTTAATGACCTGAATAATACTGATGTTGCTAAGTACCAGTTTGAAATACCAAACTCACACCGTAACAGAACAATAGTCTTTACTTGTTTTACAAAGACTTTTGTGAAAGGGGAACCCGGCTGGCTCATTCAGTGAAACTGTGACGCTTGATCATGGGGTTGCGAGTTCGAGCCCCATGGTGAGTATACAGATCATTTAAAAATAAAAAAATCTTAAAAAAAAAAAAAAAGACATTTCTGGAGCAACTGGGTGGCTCAGTTGATTAAGCATCTGCCTTGGGCTCAGTTCATGACCTCAAGGTCCTGGGATTGAGCCCCGGGTCGGGCTCCCTGCTCAGCAAAAAGTCTGCTTCTCCCTCTCCTCCCGCCCCCCCATCCCCCACCTTGTATGCTCTCTCTCAAATAAATACTTTTGTGAAAATGTGGTTTTATATTTTATTATTAACATACATACTATCTCAGCTTTTTTTCAATCCAGTAGCTCTTTAATTTTTCCAGTTAGACACTACCTTGGACAGTACTAGTAATTTGCATTTCAATATTTAACACCTATGTCTTTTTTCGTCACTCACATGTCCTACACGAGTATTTTTTAAACTTTTTTGAGACTGTCCAAAAGGAGAAATATATTTTACTTTGTGAAGCATAGATACATATCTGTCACTGAAACAAAACTTTCACAAAATCATAATTACCCTTCCTATGTGTGTTTTACTTGCATATTTCCTATGGTTTTATACCTTGGGGAACAGAGGTCTAGAAAGGTTCCTCTCTGCTGACTTGAAGAAGGGGTCTTAGTAAATTAGCAAAAATTACGAACAGCCTTTAGTATTGAAGTAATACACCGAAGGCCAGGAGGCTGGAGGTCAGGAGCCAAATCTTGAAAGATGAACTGGAATCAGAAGGGTAGAGACTCAAAAGATGAAATGAGCCCAGCACATCTGGAGGACAGTCATGAGGGGTTCATAAAGGGAGTGGTAAGGAATAAAGTCAAAAAGAAAGCCTGAGGTCAGTCTGCAGAGAGCAAGACAGACTCTGGATTTCATCCTGGAGGTCATAACACTGTGACTGACGGTCTGTGAGTGTGCAGAGTGCTATTCCAGAATTGTTCGTCTGCACACAGACTTGAAACCGGCTCTAAAAACACCCGGAGCTCAGACACCAGGTTCTCCAGCTCTATTTCAGCCCGGAGAAAAATGTGTGCACACGGACCTCATAAATTCAGAATTCTAACAAGAGCGGTCTGGGTCACCTAAATAAATAGAAAACCTGGGATATACATATTAAGTTTAGACAGCAACTGAGCCTTTCTGTTTCTTTTCATCCTTTTACTTCTGTTAATGAAGTGTGGGCCTTATCTGCAGCGACCACTAAGTAATTATTTCCTTTATGAAAGCTATACACTTTATTGAGAAGCTCGTCCTCAATACTGTTATGAGTCTAACCAATAAATAACTTTGCAAAAAATAAATTTTGTATCAGCAATAACACTTTTAATAATAAGGTTGTAGAGCGCACAGACACACAGGGACCTCTGAAGGTGTCCAGCACCCCGTAATTCAGGCTCTGCTGGACACAGTGACAGTGCCCCCTGATCCTCACCCAGCACTCCGCCTGTCTCAGGAGAAGAGAAACACCCAGCGTGAGTCACCTTGCAATTACACCGCCACCTGGAAGCGTATTTAAGAGATGAGAACTACAAAGCTGGGCCTCTGTAAATGCCTGCACTGGACTTCCTCTCCCTTCTTCCAGTCTGAGGATCAATAGAGCTCAGGATCCTTTCACTAATTTCTCATAAGCACCATTTTTTATCATTTTTTGAATTTAAAAGGGACTGTCTCCCAAGGCCTCCCCGACGTTACCTTGAGTTATTAACACTGTAAATTTCAGAGGCAGAAAGCGCATCAGTTGAATCTACGTTTTTTCCACGCGGAAACTACTTCAGAGGAAGATTTTTTTCTCATTTCTGAGAAAACGTTTGTACACGCGCATACACACCGTCTGGGGTAACGCAGACCCTTCACCGACGGTCAGGGTTCAACCCAGTCTTTGCTGCTGCATTTCTGCATGCACACAAACAGGACGTCACAGTGACACGGAACCCTCACGTTTCACCTCAAAATGTCAGGCCTGGATCTCAAGCCGAGTCCCAGCCCTGCTCGGGATGCGCGTCCGGCGGAGGCGGTGGCAGGGAGAGGGGCTGCCCCCGAGCAGGACCCGCGGGCTCGGTCTCCTGGGGCCTTGGGGTCCCGCACATCCCGCTCTCCCGCGGCAGCCCACCTCCCCTGCGGGGCGCGGGCTCCCGTCCGCCCAGCGCCCCAGACCCCGGTGGGCGGCCCGGGCGCGTCGGCGGGGCGCCGCTCGGAAATCCGGGTTTCCCCACACTAAGACGCGGAGGCCGGTCACCCCGGTTTCGGTCCGGGTGACCGCTGGGTGAGCCGCCGGGGCCGCCCGCCCTGTGCCTCCACGTCCGGGTCTCGACGCCTCGCCGCCCCCGGCCCCCGACCCCCGGCCCCCGGCCCCCTAGACCGCGACCCCGGCCCGCGCCGACTCCGACGCCCCCGACCCTCTGACCCCCGGCCGCGACCCCCTCGACCCCGACCTGGCCCGCGTCGACACCGACACCCATTCCCCGGCCCCGACGCCCCTGACCCAGGACCCCCCCGACCCCCGCCGCGACCCCGGCCCGCGCCAACCCGCGCCGGGCCTGGGGCCGCCGCACTTACTCCTGCCAAGGCGGCCGTCGGGAAGGCCGGGGTCCGGGGGACCCGGGCCGAGGGGACCAGGGTCGGGGAGACCGGGGCCGGGGTCGCGGCCGCCCGCCGCCCGCCCCAAGGCCCCGCCGCCCGGCGCACGTGCCAGCTGACAGGCCCCCCATAGGTTCCATACCTGCCACCGGAAGTGAGTGAGGAGGGCAGTATAGGCATTTCCTGTGACGCGAGCGCCTGGACTCCATTAGGCAGCAGCTGGGGGAAGAATCAACACACCAGGGAGCGGAGCGCAGCCACCGAGCGCCGAGGCGGCCGCTGCCTCCGCCGCCGCCCGCCGCCGCCGCCACCAGCGCCGGGGCTCAGCCCCGCGGCGGGCCCCGCGCCCCCGCCGCCGCCCGCGGGGCCCCGGCGCGCCCCCCGCCGCCGCTCCGAGCCGCCCGGGGGGGGGGGAAGGCCCGGACCCTCCTGCTCCCCCTCCTCCTCTCCCTCCTCCCGCCCCTCCTCCCGCCCCGGCCCCGACCCCTCCCGCCCCCGGCCCCCTCGCCCCGACCCTCCCCCGGCCCCCGCCTCGCCCCTCCGGCTTCCCACCACGGCCTCTCTCGGCGAGGAAACTCTGGCCTCCGCTTCCTCCTCCTCCGACTCGGACGCCGGCGGAGCCTCCCCGCCCCCGCGGAAGAAACCCCGAGCCTCGGCGGCGGAGGGAGCAGGAGAGCCCGGGGCTTCGGCAGGCAGAGCAGGCCTCTCCCCTCCGTCCTCGTCGTCCTCGTCCTCGTCGTCGTCGTCGTCCTCCTCCTCCTCCTCCGTGGTGGTGGTGGTGGGACTGCCCCCGGCCGCTGCCCCCGCCGCCCCCCACCGAAGTAGCGGCCACAGCCTGGTCAGCGGCAGCATCATGCAGGCCAACGGGGCAGGAGGAGGAGGAGGAGGAGGCGGCGGCGGCGGCGGCGGCGGAGGGGGCGGCGGGGGCCAGGGACAGACCCAGGAGCTGGCCTGCCTGTCGGCCCAGAACGGGGAGTCGTCCCCCTCGTCGTCGTCGTCCGCGGGGGACCTGGCCCACGCCAACGGGCTGCTGCCTTCCGCCCCCTCCGCCGCCAGCAACAATAGCAACAGCCTGAATGTCAATAACGGGGTCCCCGGCGGGGCCGCCGCAGCCGCCGCCGCCGCCGCAGCCTCGGCCGCCGCCGCCGCCTCCTCGGCCACCCCGGAGCTGGGCAGCAGCCTCAAGAAGAAGAAGCGGCTCTCCCAGTCCGACGAGGATGTCATTCGGCTCATAGGACAGCACTTGAATGGCTTAGGGCTCAAGTAAGTGCCCTTGCCAGGCCGCCGGTGTGGACGGACCGAGGCCCGGAGGCCGCGTGGGGGAGGGGGCCGGACGGAGCTCGGCCGGGCGAGAGATCGTGCGCGGCCCGCGGGGCCCGGGCCCCGGGAGGACGGGGAGGAGCAGCTGACCTGCCGGGAAGGGGGAGACGGATGGGCCCGGCGGGGCGTGAGACGGAGACAGGCGGTGGCGGGCTCGGGAGGGGGGCAGGAAGCCGGGACCTTGCCCCCTGCCCGCACACCTTCGGAGCTGAATTGTCTGTCAATAAAGACAGATGCGGGAGTGTGTGTCTGCGTGGTGGGGGAGGGGTGCGTTCGAGCTGCTGGAAATAATGGACCTCGGAGGATTTGGTTTTCAAGTATATCTCAGAGGCATCTTTGTGGGACACCTCCCCACCCCCAACTATGACAGACAGCCCAGGCCAGCCACCAATCAGGAAAGACAATCGCCTACAAGTGTTCATGGGAACTGAGGGGCTGGCAGAATTTGGGAGCCACCGAGTGAAATACCCTGTTGGTGTCATCTAAAGGCCCTTGTGTATGTGCGAGAGGCCTACCACTAACCCGGCCGAGATCCCACTTGAATTACAAGAAAAGGCCTGTGAAAAGGGGATCTCTGATCTGGGCAACCGTTTATTTTCAAATACAACGTCGGTAGCCTTGTGCACCTAAAATAGGGTGAACCCACCGATCCGTAGACACAAAGGAAAAGCGAGGGGGTGGAAGGTGGGGAGGGGGGGAGTGCCCTGCAGGCCTGATAGTGGGTGAAGCAAAGCCAGAATAAGACCAAGGCGGGGGACATGCAGCAGTCCGCATCCTGGCTTCAGAGCCTAGGCCAAAAGCAGCTCTTAGGGACAGCCCAGGTGTAGTTTGGGATTTACAGATTTGTTCTCGCGGGAGGGGGGAGTGAGGGGAGCACTTTGTAAAAGTGACCTAAGTATTTTGATTCTCTGGCAGATCATGGCACTGGTTAGCTGAAAAATAAACAGAGCTGAATGAGAAAGCATCGAAACATAAACACAAATAGGGAAAACTGATAAAGATTCTTAGGTATCAGAATATCTGATGAGACAAACTGCATTTGGTAGATCTTTTCAGCTCTCAAAGAGAAATAGATCTTCGAAAGATTTCACTTTGTTCCTTAAGGAGAAGGATTAGTATGAAAACAGATTTTGTAAATGCTAACAGAACATGTTACTGAGACAAGAAGCAAGCTGACAGCAGCAGGAGGAAATAACTCGTGACTGTTTGGAACCTACACCATAGTAAATTTGCTATTTTTAGTATAGAGAGAAAGAGTGATTTTTGGTGCTGGATTTATTTTAATTTTAAAGATTGACCTAGTAGAATTTCTGTGCAAACATCGCGTCTGGATGTAAGGCCCTTCCCTGACCCAGGTCATCTCTCTTCCCTTGTCTGGAACTAACAATTTCTATCTTTTGAGACGTTGTAACGTGGTTAGTACCCTGGTTTTTATTTATTTAACCACTTGGTTACAACATGTTCTTGGAGATTTTATACTTCACTAAATTTCTGAGGCATTAAATGGTAAAAATTGGAAGAACTTCTTTTGATTCTGGTTTCAAGAAGGCTTTTAACCTGACTAGATAAAACAACATCACGGTGGCTGTTTAAAAATGCAAGTTTGTTGAGCCAAGCACAATTAAAAAAAAAAAAGAAAACAACTATTGATTTCTTTTTTCTCCATCATGAGGTTAGCCTGAAAACTTTTGCAACTGTTTTTATGGACATGAGTTGATTTAGAAGAGTGAATCCTACAAGTTGGCCAGGTCTTTTTTACACTGTATCTCTCCTGCAGCCAGACTGTTGATCTCCTCATGCAAGAGTCAGGATGTCGTTTAGAACATCCTTCTGCCACCAAATTCCGAAATCATGTCATGGAAGGAGACTGGGAGAAGGTAAAGTAGGGCATATAGAGCTGTGTGACTGCTGCTAAAATTATATATTGGAATGTGCATTCTGTGACATTTTTGTTTTTCTTTTATGCCAATTTTTGCAGGCAGAAAATGACCTGAATGAACTAAAGCCTTTAGTGCATTCTCCTCATGCTATTGTGGTAAGAGGCGCACTTGAAATCTCTCAAACGTTGTTGGGAATAATTGTGGTAAATACACTTTTGTTCTTAGTTTCACATTCATGCTTATTTTAGTAGGTTATTGATAATTCTAGGCTTCTGTCTCTTACAAAAGATAAGGCCTAAAAATAGTTAAATTTCATATAATTAAGTTTGTAAACTAGGATGAGTGTTGATACTTTAAAGTTTTACCTTTTTAAAATCATGTTTAGTAAATGTGTCGTTTGAACCTACTTTATAAGTTAAGCTTCTAGAAATTAATTGAAAGATCTTCATGCTTTCAGTGCTGTTAATAGCAGTTTTATATTTGTGGAATCAAAGATAAATTATGCTTTCACGTTATTTATACTGATCGTACTGGCAGAGGAAATGTATTTGGGTGTGTGCATCCTATAGCCTTAAGTAGCTGATACATGAATTGTCCTGGTTTTGGTTTTTTTTTTTTAATCTTTGGCAATTACAGTTAATTCAAAGCAACTCCTTTGGTGTGCTCACCATTTTCCACTCGTGCATTCCAGTTGTGTGCACTGACAGTGTCAAAGTGTGTATAATGTGGATCACTCTGGTGGAGGGTTTGTGTGCAGATTTGACCACTGGGCTCTGCTTACAGGCCTTATTTCCCCGACAAGATCAGTTCAGTAGTCTAACCTATTAGCTTCTTTCATAAATCTTGATGAATCTTTTCTGCTGGTAGGCTTTAATTCTTCTGTAGATGTCGGTGAGGGAGAGGAGGGGGGGATAAGTTTTTCTAAGTGCCTGCGATTGGAAACCATGAAGAATCAGCTGCTGGCTGCTGGCCTTTTAACTTCGAGCTGATTCATTTGTTGTCAAAAGCAGTTTCCTGTCTGGTGGGGGAGGGAAAGAAGGCCAGTAGGAAGTCAAGTAGGGAAACCAGCTGTTTGTTAAATATTAGTAAATGACTACTGTTACCTTTTGGTTTTTTTTTTTTAATTGGGTCAAACATTAATCTTGCCGCCTTTGTCTGTAAACCTAATAGAGCCTCTTGTTCTTGTTTTTGGGGTTTTTTTGGCCGGGGGGGAATCTTAATTACAAAAGTTTTCAAATTGATAATATATAATTCTAGAGAATGGACTTCAGGCGAATTGAAGGTACAAACAAGTATGAATAAATACGGATTAATGTAAATTGATGACTTAATATGTATATTTTTTGCTTTCAGTAAATATTTTAAAGCAAATTTTTACTTACTGTGAAATCAGATGATTGATAATAAATTAACTCATGGAATGATCAATTCCATGCTAAATATTAAAAAATGAAAACACGGAAGTTAAAATAAACACCTACATTTAAAAGGGTTATACATTTCGCAGCAACTAAATTTTTCCCAGTCAGTGTGTTTGGGATTTAAAAAAAAAAGAACCTAAGTATATTTTAATTGGGCAGTTTCTCATAAATAATTAGCTCCAACAGAATGGAAAGTGACCCTAAAATATAGACAAAAAATAAGTGTGTGAGTTTTGGGAGGATTGTTTGCCTTTTTTTTTAAATCCTCACTTCAAATTCTCTTTGTAATTAGGTAGTAAAAATTTAAATAGGGTCACTTCCTATTTTTTCTTACTTGTTCACAGAAATGTGGGGCTTCTGTGTTTTATTTAGATTATGACTACCTGAAACCTTCATTAGAAGCAACGTGTAAACTCAAAAAAGGTAGTTATAGATAACGAGGAAGAGTCCTTTCTTTTTACAGCCTGTTCAATGTATAGAACATTGCAGCATCTAATAAAAGATGAAGGTTAAATCTCTGGCTGAGCCTCGCACCATCAAACTATTTAGGTATTTGTCCAAAGAAAGGGGCTCCAGGTTTAAGATTCAGTTTAGCACTTTTTCCCCCTTCGAGTTTGTGTTCAGATTTACTCCTCTCCCCCACTCCATCTCCAGAAGAGAACCCAATCCCAGGGTAGCTGTAATAATACCATAGAAGACAACTATTTGGGACTTCTTTTTTTTTAACATAGTTATTTTAATTGTACACCCAGACACATTTGATGACTTAATCAAAACTAAAATTATATTTTACTTTTTAAGCCCAAACATTTTTATTGACCCAATCCACTCTCTGCTCTCCCCACCTACCCCCCATATTTCTTAATGGTTTCCAGTCAAATGATACCATGGATAGCAGAATTTGCTCTGGATTTTCTGGAAAGTGAGCTCCTGAATCAACATTTGTCAGTTTGGGTTCAAATGTGCTTCACCACGTCAGGGGAGTTTGGATGGGTAGAGAGGCCAGTAACATGGGAAACTCCTCCAAAATTTGTGTTTATTTTTTAGTATAATAGAAATGTGCTTAAGAAAAGCGCTCAAATGCTAATTTCATGGACAAAAATTAACTACTGTTTTTTAAAGTTAAATAGGGCTTTGAAAGCCATGGTTTAAATATAATTCATTTCCCCTTTCCTCTGAGTCATGGTTTAATTGATACAACTTGGTTATAACCTTATTGCAGAATTAGTCAGAACCACTCCTGAGTTAGCAGGGAGCCTGCCCTGGATAGTCTGTGTAGCCTCGGACTTTTCCTTCAGTGGAAGTCAGGACAGTTAGGTGGGAGGAGAGGGTACAGCAGTCCCAATATTGGGTAGGATGGGAGGCAACAGCAAGACCTACTATGTGGAGCTGTCTTTCACGGTCCTACTGGGTAGTAAGAGACAGACAGACACCCTGGGCCGAAAGATGCTGGGAAATTATCAGAGAACAGAAGTACTCTCGCAGAGGTCTCATTAGGAGCTGGGAAGAGCTATAAAGGGCAGTTTGTTTTCTCAGCCTCTTTCTTTTTTTCTTCATTTAAAAGAAGCTTGTGATCTTTAAAAAAAAAAAAGTTCATAAGGCTCTGTCCCCACCTCAGCAAACTTTATTTAGTTTTGCTGATTTTTTAAAATTTTAAATAGTTAACATCATTTGTGAAAGGTGTTTATTTTCTTGAAATTGTGTTTATATTTTTGTGCTTTAAACTTTGGGAAGTGAAATGCAGTTTTACTCTCCATCCTTATGTGTCAAATACGAATGGAACTGATTTTTAGGAGAATAAACATACTGTCTTTCAACCGAATCTTTAGCTATGCTTGGCCAGCAGCCTGTCCATTGCCATGTGCACTACCAGGATTTGATACCCTGTTTGAGGAGATTCTTAGTCTTCATCTGGATAAAATGGCTCCTAGAAAATTGTCTGCGCTGCCTTCGTAGCATGCCCTGTATACCCAGAAATACGTATTTGAATGAGCTTCCCTCACATGTCCTGCCTTCCTCCTCTCCCGCCCTGCCCCTTCCCCTTAGAAAGACAGAAGCATGTTCCAGCAGGATCTTGGTGGGAAAATAAGGAGCAAACAGCACTTGGGGCACTGTCCCTACACACATTGGAATGGGGGCTGTGCCTAGGACCTCATAGTTGGCACCCCAAAAATAAATCATGAAAAAGTAATTTTCTCCAAATTTCCAATCGCTAAAAAAATTGAGTGGAGAAATCAAGTACATGTACTGGCCAGTTCCATGTGGCACTTAAATGAAAAAATAGTGCAACTAAACATGATTCTCAGGTTTGAATCAGAAACACTATGTGAAATATAACTGTGACAGTGTCGGTAAACGGAAATGTATAAAATCTACATTTCGTAAAGAATGGAAGTTGTTTTCAGGAGATAAAATGGTGAGAATATTCAGAATAACTTCAAATATAAAATACTTTGATTTTCAAATTGTTTTATTAAGTCTTTGGTTTTTGTCATCTGACGGACACCAGAGTATTTTGTTCTTTGACATAATAAAGGGTAACTCTGGGCTCCACGCAGCACACTTTTCAGGGCATCTTGGTAAGCGATCTGTTTCTGAGGCATTCGTTAGTCCAGCATGATGTGTAGAATCTGCGAGGTGTCGTTTCTCTAGAGTTACAGGAGCTCATCTGATAGTTGGAAATTTTTTCTGTTCTTTAGTTACAGATTTAAGTTTAGATTATCACCAAACATATGCAATGCATCTTACAAAAGAGGTGTTTAAATGTAGGCCTAACTTACCTGACAGGGTTTGTTTTGCTTACTTTCCCTAGAAACCATTTTTAGAGGCTTGTAGGTAGGCCTTTCTTCTAAATACTCCATACTAGAAAATCGTGCAGAGAAGTTCATGGTACTCTTATTTCTCTGAAGAAATGATCTTTTCTCCACACCATTTTGGGACAGCAGTATATATATACTTAACATTTTACTGAGGAAGAAAAAGCTATTGTTTGTTTTCTTCTTTTAAGTGGATTTAAAATCTTGACCACTGTATTTCTTGGGGTCTCTAAATATGGCTGACGTTTTCTGTCCCCTGACCTCCGTACCTGCCTCCGTCGGCTCGCTCCAGACCCATGGGTAGCAGATAGGATGAAAGAGTCCCTCCAGGCAGTGGTCTTCTGCTGTAAAAAATGCTCAACTTGATACTCATAAGTATCTCTCTTTAGCCAAAAAAAAAAAGGCTGCTAAGACCATGATGATCACTTTCCAGTTAAAAGTACCATAGTAGAGTGAAGGGACATTAAAAAGTATCAGAGCCAAACCCATTTCAGCGAAATAACTCCGTGCGAAAGTGCTTCACCATGAGCAGGAAACGGTTTGTCCTTTTGGGGGAAACGAGCTGATCATAATTGTCTGTGCCCCGTAGTTAAATGCATCAGCGATCAGGCTGTTAGCAGTACACACAGACAAATACTGACTCCTTTTGCAGACTTTGGAGTTCAGCTTTCTGTCGTAGACCTCCTAGCAAGAGCAAGGCCATCAGGCTCACGCTTGCCCACTCCGCACATGGACCCCTAGGCCTTTTGCTGGACAGCTCTCCTTACTTCCATGAGCCTCGTCTGATGCTTTGTGACCTCTGCCCCAAGGCTCTAGTTCTGCTTGGCAGTCTGCTTAGTCCTTCCGACACGTTGTAGGTTTTAAGTAATTCCTCCATTAACCGGTTTTTCTGCCATCTTTTTTAAAACTTGTGGCATCAAACCCCCTGATGCCCTATTGTAAGAGTCAGTCTTTTAAAACCAATTTAGAATACCTGGAATAGTTCTGAATTTTCACGCAAGAATAAAATTCTAGGTGAATGTTTTTAAGGGCAGAGTTCATTTTTTCCTCTGTCGATGCCTTGGTCGCTAATGGTCTTACCTAATTTGGGATTATTGGTTCAAAGCAGTTTTATGAAGATGTGGAATTGAGCAAGATGATCATTTAATCTACTGTGACTATTAAACCAAAATAGTTTGAGTCATCTTAAAGCGTTGTAAGAAGTGATTTTCAGAGGGCGTAGTAGAATGGTTTCTACTGTTCTGTTTAGGCACAAACATTTTCTGACCCTCCCATCAACTTTTCCCCTCACTGCTGCTTTCTGTCCTGTCAGAGGATGAAGTTTTTGCTGCTGCAGCAGAAGTACCTAGAGTACCTGGAGGACGGCAAGGTCCTGGAGGCGCTTCAAGTTCTGCGCTGCGAGTTGACGCCCCTGAAATACAACACGGAGCGCATTCACGTCCTTAGCGGGTAAGGACACGGGCTCCTGATGCTGGGGTGACGGAGGGGCCGGCAGGGCCAGCACGGGTGCCACTCTTCCAAGATTGGAGTCGGGCTACGTCCCTGCACAATATTGCTCTGGATACACTCATTCAAATGCATTCAGGCTACTTTTGTCCTCCTAGGAAGCGTTGCATATTAGAATAGATACTTAAGTGGGTGAAAGAAAGAAGAAATACGTATCGCCATTTCATAGTCTTTCATCAAAACCCTGTGGCGTAACCTTCTGTGCAGACAATGAGCAGTGAACCTTCCACGGCGCCGCATCGGGCGCTCTTCCTAACGTGTGCTTGTCCCGCCCCAGGTCCTTGCTGAGCATTTCCTGTACACAGTCTCACTTGATCGTCACATCTGCTCTTTCCATGTCAGGGGGCCGAGGCCTCAGATCCGGGCCCCTCTTCTGTTCTCTGTCCACACACCCCGCCAGGTCCCCTCGTTCTGTGCAGCGCCCTCACATACCGTCTCTCTGCCGGAGGCTCTCATCTCAGGTCCCAGTATATGTATCTGACTGCCTCTTTGATGGTCTCCATTTGGGGTGTCGCAGAGGTGTATGTCCACAGCGAGCTTCTTGAATCCACTTGTCGTCCCCCCCACCACCTGCTCCTCCCCTAGTTTTCCCATCTGAGTAAATGGTAAGACCTTTGTCCAAACAAAAAACAAACCTCATCCTTGCATTTCCTAAATCCTTTAACTCTGACATGTGTTGGCCAAACTCTAAAACATCCCGGATTTGTCCATTTCTCTCCATCTCCACAGATTCTATCCTAGTGAATCCATAAATGTGTTTCCTAGAATATTCGAGTGAACTCCTTGTGAGTCCCATTGCTTTCAGTCTCACTCCCTTAATGATGCACATTTCACACAGCAGCCAGATAAATACATAAACATGTAAGTAAAACCGTACATTAAGCCATTTATCTCCCTTTCTTAAAACTTCGCACTGGCTTTCTATCACCCTTAAAATCCAGAATCTATGCTCAAGCCTTTGGAGTCTTTGACCTTTTCTCGCCATCTTTTCCTTCCTTCATTTACTCTCCAGTGATATTAATGATTTTTCTGTTCCTTAACTGGCCAAGCCGCTTCCACTTCCCTTTATCGTAAATGCTCTTCCCCGAATCTTTCCATAGCTGGCTACTAGGTGCTCAGGTCCCAGCCCAGAAGTCCTCTCCTAAAACCACCTAACAGGCATTGTCTTGTCACATCACTGTTTTTAATTTTTTTTTATAGCATTTTTTATTATATGGTACGGCCCCGGCCTCTAGAACATCATTGACGCACAATGAGTTTTCAAATACAAAATGATGGCCAAAACGATGGACCCAAAGAGATATAGGGTTCATTTTAGGGTTTTTGAGGAAAGGGAAACTAAACCTTGGAGAAGTGAAGTAACCAGCCCGCCTGGTAAAGCAGAGAGCCAGGATTCCAGGCCTGGTTTGACTGATGGCAGAGTCATCGGTCCTCACCCGCTGCATCCTCGAGCAGCAGGCTGGGTGTTTTACTACTGTAGTTGACAGATTCACTGGTTCTGTTTATCTCTTTGATAAGGAGTCTGATTTCTGTGTCACCTTTTCTGGTAACAGAACATATAACCTAATCACATAGTTTTGATTCCAAAATGAACTTCACTCGGTGTGTCCCTTGACTGTTTCCCATAAAGAAATGGCCCAAAGATGGCCAGATGCAGAGCTGGCATGAGGATCCAGGGTTTTTTCCCAGTGGTCCAGCATCTTTTCAGTTACACCACACAGCTTCCTGTAAACAGACATTCTTTGAAGCCCTTAAGGTGTAATGTGTGTTTTCAGAAGGGGCAGAAACAATCCTAGGTATCTTTTGCAAAATTTAAAAAGTGAACAATTTTTCCATAAAATTATTGATAATAAATTTTACCCCAAAAAAGTTATTTTAGAAACCAGTAGTTTTGCAATACCCAGCTGCTTATATAGGGTATTTTGAATCAGGTTACTCATGCTACTAAAACAAAGTAAGTTCTCATCAGCTAAGACACCATATACTAAATAAAAAGCAAGAGAGCAGGTAGTTCTCTGCTCCTGAGTAAGAGGCAAGTAACTACTCAATGCTGAATGCAGTTTGCTTGGTGCAGTTGAGAAAAAGAAGGTGACACATCAACTGAGAGGTTTCCCATACTTCTCTTATCATATATTAAGCTCCATCTGTATACCAGGTAGTGGACCAAGTACTTAATATACTCTGTCTTAGTTAATCCTTACTTCCCTGTTTAAGAACCTTTTTACAAGTGAGAACAGATCTGAGAACAGAGTACCAGACAAAGTAGCAGGAGACGTACTCGCCAGGTCTAATCTCAATGTCTGAATAATGCCTTCACTTCTTTTACTTTTAAAGCCAGTTCTTCTGAGAAGAGCCAGAACAAGGTCAGGGTCACACTTCCAGCAGGGGGCCTCATGTATTCTCCAGAATCCATGACTTTAGCTTTTATGCCTCCTTCGGCACATATAGTGAGTAATAAAACAGTTCCCAAAGTTTCTGCTTTGGGATCTCAATACCTTTCACAGGATGACCCAAGGATGATTATCCAATTATACCATTTCTTGAGTGACGTTTATGATAAACTGTTGAAGGTATGTTGTTTTTGTTTAATTAACTTAGTATAAATATCTTTGAAGGGTTTTTTATTTTATTTGGGGTTTGGGGGGAGTTTTGTTTTACTACTGAGAAGCAATTCAGTTAGCACAGTAGTTAAGAGCAAGTTTTGCAACTAAAAATGCCTGAGTTCATATCCCCTTTTTTGCCTCTTAACCCTAAGCCAGTTCCTTACGCTTTCCATGCCTTGGGTGGTTCATTTGTGAAATTAGAATGCCAGTGCTCCCTTCACCCAGGATTGTGGCGCACTTTCAGTCAGGTGGTATGTGTGGAGAGCTTGGGACCGAGCCTGGCACCCAGGAAGAGCCACATACACAGCATGACGTATGATAATAACAGACGAGGGAGTATGTTCTACTAACAGATGATAATATGTCATAAGAGTAACATCATACATTTTGCTGTTACCGTGGTATTACATTTTAGTAAATATATGCAGGTGCCAGGTTGTATTAATGAATTGGGTCCACGGTAGAAATTTGTTCTTGATACGTATTTCTTAGTAAGAATTTGATATATATTTCTAAGTATGATCAATACTTTTTAATTATGAAAAATTACATTATTTTACCCAAAGAAAAGGGTTTAATGTTTGGTGTTTTCTCTGTCCTGTTTTTAGGTATCTGATGTGTAGCCATGCAGAAGACCTACGTGCAAAAGCAGAATGGGAAGGCAAAGGAACAGCTTCCCGATCCAAACTGTTGGACAAACTGCAGAGTAAGAGTCTTACTTTTTGGTGTTTCTGTGTTTTCTCTTAATCAGAAATAGATACTCTGAATTGATCAGGAAGACTTCTTGTGTCCAGATGCACGCTCAGTGAGCAGTTACATAGGGAAGAAGGGAAAATCCAGTAAGCCCTTTCAAGCAAAGGTTTCCAGACTGCCCTGGAGTCTGCAAAGCAGCTCACCTCCTCGGGAGTCGGGGGAGAGGGCATGGGTCCCAGGGCAGCTCTCCCTTCGTTTGTGTTATGCAGTAATGCTCCCGTTAAGATTTTGTCTGGGGGGGAGGAGTGCTGTAGTTGGAAGAAAAAATACATAAGCCGGAAATGTAAACTACAAGTGTTTTAAATATTTGTTGATTTCAACAGGAAGGCCCAGGTTTAAGTAAACTGTTTTCCTCTCTGCCCCCCCACCCCCAGATATGTTCTTTATAACTTCCAGATTAGAGTCGGGGTTTTATTTTTGCCACACTTTTATAGAGAAGATCTTTTTTCCCTCTCGGATTAAATCATGTTATTCTGTGTGTTTCACGTTGAGGTGTGGAGTAGAGGTGAGGAGTAGAGATCCTAAGAATCAGAAAACCATGTGGTTGGGGAGGTGTGAGACATGGAAGGATTGGAAGAGATGGGTATCCACATCAAAACACCAGTCATTCCCGGAGTTTGCACAGGATCCTGGGCATTAGAAGCAATCTGATGAGACCTGGTGCTTGTCCCCACCTGTCGGCTGGCCTTTGTTGGGAAGAGGTTCCTTTTATACTGTCAGTGATCTGTAGTCTCCCTCCAGTACACAGTCTTCTGCAGGTTTTCTCTTCATCATCACTGGCTTTTTTTTTGGGGGGGGGGGGGGTTGCTTTGTGTTTTTGGAAATTCACGTACAGATTAAAGCCCTCCTATCTGTTCCATTTTGTGACAACATAGCTGTAGCTGCTGACAAACACGCCTGAAGCTCCCACTGTGTCACCTCTCCTGCTCTGAGGGACATAAGATTTCTAGGGCGGCGGCAGGTGCAACAGAAGGGGGGCAAGTGTCTTAAAGGTTATACTGTCTTGGTATTTTTTTTTTTTTTAAGATTTTTTTTATTTATTTGAGACAGAGAGAATGAGAGAGACAGAGAGCACATGAGAGGGGAGAGGGTCAGAGGGAGAAGCAGGCTCCCTGCCGAGCAGGGAGCCCGATGCAGGACTCAATCCCAGGACTCCAGGATCATGACCTGAGCCGAAGGCAGTCGCTTAACCAACTGAGCCACCCAGGCGCCCTACTGTCTTGGTATTTTAACGTTTGTTGTTATTTCTCTCTTTAAAACTGTCTTGTTTTACAGCGTATTTGCCGCCATCAGTGATGCTTCCCCCACGGCGTTTACAGACTCTCCTGCGGCAGGCAGTGGAATTACAGAGGGATCGGTGCCTATATCACAACACCAAACTCGATAATAACCTAGATTCTGTGTCTCTGCTTATAGATCATGTTTGTAGTAGGTAAGAGACAAAACTTCTTCTACTTTTACAGACTCAGTAGGAACTTGGTTAAAACATTTTCTTTTGGGGGCTTTCTCCTGTCACCGTGAAACCATTGGTGTCTGATTTAGTTCCCGAGCAGAGCTAGAACCTACTGAAGTGGACACTTTGAGAGACATTTGCACGTGTTTGCATAGGGAACCCGCATCTCGAGAAGGGAAGCTGGGAAGCCTGGTTTTCCTCTTCTTGTCTGGGTGTCGGTTGGTCATTTTATCTGTCCTGCCATCTTCATAAGGGCTTGTGGGTGGTGTTGGGTGGGGATGCCGGCGACCGGAGGGTCTGCTGTCCTTGGATGCCAGACAGCACGGAGGGACTTTTTCTGGATGTTATGGCTGTTTTAACAATGGCCTCAATTATTTTCTGCCCATAAATATCATGGAAATACTTGGTCCATAATGGAAGTTCTGCTCTTTAGTAGAACCTGGCCTCTAAACAAAAAATGGTTAGAAAAACAGGCATTAACTTTCTGGTTTGGATTTTGTTATTATATCTGTCCGTGTCCATAATTCAGCTCGATTTTAGATATTAGGAGTAGTTTGAGTGGAAATGTTCCTGCTATTTTAACAACGATCTCCAAAACTAAAGCAGAACTTTAATTTTTAAGATACTGAAAAATTAATTCTGAAATCTTTGAAATTTCACGAGGGAAATGATTTGGGTCTGGTGAACCACACATGAACAGCTATAGTACCCATGCCCAGTTTCTTTAGCAAAGATCACTGACGAAATACTGGAAGTGGTGTGGGGAGGCAGGGCCAACGTGTAGACCATGCGTGGGCTTTGGGAACAGCTGTGGATGTTTTGTGCGTGGGCGCTGTGACTGGAGGTGACGGCGGGGAGGTGCGCGTCAGGTGAGCCGTGTGTGTGCGCTGTGACCGGAGGTGACGGCGAGGAAGTGCACGTCAGGCGAGCCGTGCATGTGCGCTGTGACCGGAGGTGACGGCGAGGAGGTGCGCGTCAGGCGTGCCGTGAGTGTATGCTGTGACCGGAGGTGACGGCGGGAAGGTGTGCTGTCAGGCGAGCCGTGTGTGTCAGGTGAGTCGGGCGTGTGCGCTGTGACCAGAGGTGACAGCGAGGAGGTGCGTGTCAGGCGAGCCGTGCGTGTGCGCTGTGACCAGAGGTGATGGCAGGGAGGTGCGTGTCAGGCGAGCCGTGCGTGTGCGCTGACTGGAGGTGACAGCGAGGAGGTGGGTGTCAGGCAAGCCGTGCGTGTGCGCTGACTGGAGGTGACGGCAAGGAGGTGCGTGTCAGGCGAGCCGTGCGTGTGCGCTGTGACCGGAGGTGACGGCGAGGAGGTGCACGTCAGGCGTGCCGTGAGTGTATGCTGTGACCGGAGGTGACGGTGGGGAGGTGCGTGTCAGGAGAGCCGTGCGTGTGTGCTGTGATGGGAGGTGACGGCGGGAAGGTGTGCTGTCAGGCGAGCCGTGTGTGTCAGGTGAGTCGGGCGTGTGCGCTGTGACCGGAGGTGACAGCGAGGAGGTGCATGTCAGGCGAGCCGTGCGTGTGCGCTGTGACCAGAGGTGATGGCAGGGAGGTGCTTGTCAGGCGAGCCGTGCGTGTGCGCTGACTGGAGGTGACAGCGAGGAGGTGGGTGTCAGGCGAGCCGTGTGTGTGCGCTGACTGGAGGTGACAGCAAGGAGGTGCGTGTCAGGCGAGCCATGCATGTGTGCTGTGACCGGAGGTGACGGCGAGGAGGTGTGCGTCAGGCGAGCCGTGTGTGCGCGCTGACTGGAGGTGACGGCGAGGAGATGCGCGTAAACTGCTTCACATATGGTTGAGTTCTCACCTCTCCCTCCCCAAATGCAGTGAAAACCTGAGGATGATTGAGCTGTTGGCTTTAAGTGACTTAAGTGCCATTCATCTTAATGTACTGGATAATACATGGTGTGTGTCTTAAATGTTCTAAAACAAAGTGATTAGAAATCCTTTTCCTTTTTACCATTTTTGATTTTGTTCTGATATTATCAGAATTTTTAAACTTTTTCATTTGAGTTGAATAGAGGTAGAAGATAGTAGATTAAAAGGGTATATGGTTTCATCCTTTACGGCTCTTCTGGGGAATTTGAGACCAATGTTAAAATTAAGGCAGACGGGAACCCAAACCATTTTTTGGTTTGTGAATGTGTTGCTGGTGGAATGCCCTGAACAGTATCTAGGGTAGACTTGATGGTTCAGGAGGTGTCAGTGGAAACTGAAATCTAGGAGAATGTGACCTCCGTATTTCCTAAGTGCCTTGATTTCTCTTACAGTACCTGTGAAAGGAAATGATGGTGAATGTTTAGTCTGACTTTTTCTCCCTCAGAACAGGGATCAGCCTCTCCTGTAAAGCTGCGTAGAAAGCACTCCTGAAGTTTGCATAGGAACGAAAGTTCATGCTCTTCAGAACTAACCACTGATGGACGGGTCTTCCCCATAGTCTTTTAAAAACAGAACAAAACTTTGACTCTGTGCTTCTGCTAACCACTGCTACACTCACGTGTGCGTGCACCCGCACACACACCTGCCTTAGAGGTTGCTGCTTAAAGTAACACCCTTCTGCGCATTCACAGTACTGTGTCCTTCACTCTTCGGATTTCTGCAGCCAACACAACACCACAGCTGTTGCTGGTGTCGGTGAGGAACAACTTGATTAAATCCAGTGACTGCTCTCCAGCCTACATCTAGACCTTTCTATACCATTTGACTAGTTTGCCTTGAAACTGTTCCTTTGACTTCAAAAACATTGCAGACTCTGTTTCACTGTTGGCTGCTCCTTAGGCTCCTCCCCTGTCCCTGTCCCTTTAATAAGGGTGTGTTCCAGAAGATTTCTTTGTCTTCCCACCCCCCTCCTTTAGGTTCTTATGGCGGCCAGGTCTGGGCTAGAGTCGCAGGATTGATCTCCTAAGCCTTCAGCCTTCATACCTGTGTGTTGCTCGAGTACCTTTCAGGCAACCTGTCAGAAGTAGAACTCCCCTCCACTCTCACTGTCCCCGCAGAGTCTGCTTTTCCTCTTGAATTCCCAGTCTCCGCGAGGGGCTGCCATCTCCCCAGCCTGTCCAAGCAGCCCATCAGAGTCAGACACTGAGGAGGGATGCGTCGGGCAAGAAGCCAGTGTCCACAGTCTTTACAGATGTTGCTGAACTAGGAAGAGAAAACCTGAACGTGATTTAATTCCTAGTATTCCCCTTTCATCTAGGGATCGTCAAAAGAAAAGTTGATATTTTTTATTATCTGCTTTACTGCCTCGTAGAAATTAGATTAGCATTGAAACTAGAAAACTCTATTTTCGAAAGTAATTCTTAGCATTGAAATCTAAATACCAAGTTTTCTCTCTTCTCTCTGAAGAATAGAGAATTGATTATGAATAAGTGAACTGTAACTTTTTTTTAAAACCCTAATCAGCACGGAAGGGTTTTCATTAGATTGTGTATTATTTGTATTTTTCACAGTGTATACATATATTTGGTTAAATTTATGGAGTTTTTTTCACCAGCAACCAGTGGAAGGATGTTTCCATAGGTAACTTTATAAGTATTCATTTTTTAGTAAAGGATTGTTAGGAGATATTTATGGAAACTTAAAATGTTAGGATTCAATTTAATGAAAATATTACACTATTCAATTTTATTTGGGAAGATACTGATATTTTTAACACCACCTTAAATTTCAAATTTACTTGAAAACAGTCATCAGCTTTCACTTGTATACATCTAAAATTAGGATTTTAATAAACTAGGGCTGTTAGTCTTTTTCAAAGACTTAATACTAAAAATAATGTTAATTTAAATACCCCTTTAATGACTTTCAGTTACAACTGATTGTCAGTAGACTAGATGATTTGTGCCCTAAATTCTGATTATGAAATGGTCCTTCCTTAAGGACATTTTGCTACTCTGATTTTAGATCTGTTTTTTCATTCATGATCCGTTTTACCCATTTGAATTATTGTGTATTGTGTGCCTAAGTGTTTCTCTGTAAAAGACATCATTATTGATTACTGCCCATAAGAGGCAGGGAAACATTGTTGATATTGAAAGTACTTATTTGACTGGAATTTTATCTAACAGTATCTTGAAAAATGCAGTTTAAAAAAAATGATATTTGAAAGAAAACTGGTGTTGCAGAGTCAGCCATATGTTTAAACCTAATTCAGTTACCAGTTTATGATTTGTTAAGTTACGTGCCCTCTTCAAGCCTCATGAAGTTGGAGATATTACTTGCCTTGCAAGTTAGTTTTGAGAATTAGCAATACTTTTTATAAACATGTAGCACAGTGCTTGGCATCTAGTAAGTGCTTAATAAATGTCAGCTGGTATCGATTCTGTTTAAGTTCACATACAGAATAATAATTTAAAATTAAAGCAATTTTTAGGGGCGCCTGGGTGGCTCAGTCGTTAAGCGTCTGCCTTTGGCTCAGGTTGTGACCCCAGGGTCCTGGGATGGAGCCTTGCATCAGGCTCCCTGCTCAGCGGGAAGCCTGTTTCTCCCTCTCCCACTCCCCCTGCTTGTGTTCCCTCTCTCGCTGTGTCTTTCTCTGTCAAATAAATAAAATCTTTTAAAAATTAAAAATTAAATTAAAGCAATTTTTAGACAATCTGAAAATTTAAAGCAGCCTCCAAATAGCCAAGTGCTAAGGTAGATTCTGTGTGTGCCAGATAAAGAATGTTAATTTAGTTTTAAATATATATTATCGGGCTGGTGAATTGATAAAATACATTTTTAAATTATAGATTGGTTGGGGAAAAACTAGGGAAGACCATTTTTCAGGACAGACTTAAAAGTTCATCAAGTCCTGGGGATGAGGAGTAGGTAATCTAGTCAGTGATATTGTGACACACTTGTGGTGGATGTTTTGGTGGACTACCACTGTGTACATAGTGGTAGTCACTGTTGTACAGCTGAAACCCATTTACTGTTACATGTCAACTGAACTTGAGCTAAAAAGAGAAACATTTATGGGGTGCCTGGGTGGCACAGTCAGTTGAACTTCTAATTCTTGGTTTTGGCTCAGGTCATGATCTCGGGGTCGTGAGATCGAGCCCCACGTCGGGCTTCACACTCAGCGCAGAGTCTGCTTGCGATTCTCTCTGCCTCACCCCCTCCCCCCCAAAGAAAGAAAAGAAAATTTTATCCGCTAATGTTTAAATAACTTTTTTATAATCTTACAGAGACTCTAATAGAGTGTATACTACCCAAAAAGTAGCCACTGGTTACATGTGGCCATTTAAATTTAAATGTAAAGAAACTAAAATTACATTTAAAAGTCCAGTTCTTCAGGTGTCCTAGCCACATTTCAAGTGCTGAGCAGCCACAGGTGGCCAGGGCTTCTGGGTTAGACGGTTTACACATGGTTTGAAAAGTGCTTCCTGGGCACAGTCACTCTTGTGATTACCTTTCCTCTCAAAGTCGGAAGTCGTAGAGTTCTTTGCCCTTAATCTATAGTAGTAGTTGTCACTGAGGAAGTGCCAGCCATGTGTTGGGCTCCATGTGAATGCTCCACCTTCATCATCTCATTCTTTTTTTTTTTTTTAAGATTTTATTTATTTGATAGCAGGAGCAGCGGGGAGGGGCAGAGGAAGAGGGAGAAGCAGACTTCCTGCTGAGCAGGGAGCCCGATGCGGGGCTCGATCCCAGGACCCCGGGATCATGACCTGAGCTGAAGGCGGACGCTTAACAACTGAGCCACCCAGGCGCCCTCATCATCTCATTCTTGTATGTCATCCTCGTATAAAAAATTCCATAAGGCAGCTACCGTTGTCTTTAGTTTATGGTTGGAAAACTTGAGACTTGGATTAAACGAGTTTACCGGTTTCTGGGAAATGACCTAGAAAACGGCTGAGCCAGGACTTGAACCCGGTCTCCCTCACTCTGCTGCCCCTGTTCTTAAGGCTTTATTCTTAGCCACTGCAGCCCCTTCCCTCTATTGCACCTTCTCTGCTGTCCCCAAAATATCTCAGTAATCACTTGTATCTATTGCGTTCCAGGAATTATAGATGTTTTTCTCATCCTGAGAAGAATCCTGTTAGGTGTATATTAATGTCCTTTTCTAGATGAAGGAACTGAGGCTCAAAGGAGTGAAATGACTTGCTGGAGACATGAAAGCTTGTGACCCAAGCTTGCCTGACTGTGGTGCCTCGTCTCTTTTTGTTACATCAAGTTCCTTTTATGTAAATAAAAATGCACATTCCTCATGATGCCAGCCAACTTACACAAACTCAAAATCCTGATTGTTAATTTTTATTTATATGAATTGACTTAATCAGACCAAAAAATTCTATGATGGACACATACTTTTACTCTTGTTTAATCTTGAGAAAGGGGAAAAGAATAAATGGTACCCTGAAGTCGACTTCAAATCACTGACTTCCCCAGAGATTGCCTTGACTAATGTTGTAATAATCTTTTTTCAACATACCACTGTAAACATGATTGAGATCTGCAAAGGCATTCCTATCTTATTTTTAAAGTTTTTATATCCAAAGAAGTTTTATCACTTGTTTCACCTTTTTCATTATTAGATTACTCTATTTTGGAAGAATAATTATATGTGAACTTCTTTGTTTTAGGAGGCAGTTCCCATGTTATACTCAGCAGATACTTACGGAGCATTGTAATGAAGTGTGGTTCTGTAAATTCTCCAATGACGGCACTAAACTAGCCACAGGATCGAAAGATACCACAGTTATCATATGGCAAGTTGATCCGGTATGTACTCTGTGTGTGTGTGTGTGTGTGTGTGTGTGTGTGTGTGTGTAGACTACAAAAAGGTAATTCGTCATCTAATTACATGTTTTAAGGGTGCATATATAAACGTGTTCTTTCCTAAGAGCATTTCTCTGTCATTTTTGTCATGTTTTACCTCCTCCTGTGTTTTCTAGATGGTATATGTAGATATATAGAGTGTGTGCTGGTTTATTCCTCAGAATAACTCTGTAGGACACTCACATCTCTTGTTTTCAGATCAGGAAACTGAGGTAGACATTAAGTGCCCAGGCTCTCAGAGCTAGTAAGTGGCAGAGTTAAGACTCAAATCCGGGAATAGTACCCCTTGCCCGTTTTATCTTTGTTAATATTCAATTTACCATTCTGTCACAAGTTAGGAAAGACTCATTACCATTTTGCCTTCTGAAATCTTTCATTGTCTTGTGTGATTTGTGGAACTTCTGTTAAACACTCCCTCCACCTTACGTACAAAAAGTACTGTATTCTGGATGTAAAATTCTGAGTTCTCTCTAAAATCAGATTTTTGTCTTTGTTTATAACAAGATGACTTAGAGATTTGTAGAAATAAGTATTTGTTTCTTTTGGCCAATGGAACATTTATTGACCTATCAAAAGAAATACATGCCTCTACATAGGTTAAGGAGAAATGTTTGGTTTAAATCATAACTAAATAATCTTACTTTAAAATTTAGAAATAGAATATGATATTAGTCCCAAATAAAGTTGTGGACTTTTACATCAAAAAAAAAATAGAGAAAACGGACCACAGAAGGAAATATTTTTAAAAAAAAAGAATCCAGGGCAGGGCGCCTGGGTGGCTCAGATGGTTAAGCATCTGCCTTCGGCTCAGGTCATGATCCTGGGGTCCTGGGATTGAGTCCCGCATTGTGCTTCCTGCTCGGTGGGGAGCCTGCTTCTCCTCTCCCTCTCCTGCTCCCCCTGCTTGTGCTCTCGATCTCTCTCTGTCAAATAGTTAAGATCTTTAAAAAAAAAAAAACTGTGCTTTATTACGATTCCTTTTGGCAGCAGTATGTAACAGTGCCCTTCATTTAGCACACATTTATGGAGCACAAGCTTATTTGCAGCCTCACCATGAGCTCATGATAGTACCATGTAATTGTTCCGTGGTGGGTGCCACAGGGGCTCAAAGGAGAAACCCCCCTGGAACTGGAAAGTAGGACAAGTGAGTCCTAGCAGAAGAAGGAGTGAACCGTTATCAAGGCAAAACCAGTTTCTACTGGCCCCCGCAGGACACATGGAAAAGGAAAAGGTGGCTGGGGTTTGGGCAGTCCCAGGGAAGAGGTTACACTGCAAAGTGGGAGGTGAGGTTAGTGGAGTTGGTAGCCGCCAGTCAAGGAGAGGATCTTGTATACTTGGCTAAGGAGTTTAGACCAGAGTGCTTTTTTCAGAATAGGTGTTACGTGTAAAGGGCTTTTGTGGCCAGATTAGCTTGGGAAACGCAGGGTTAATGCTTTCATTCCAGTCTGAGATGCCATGGACTTTAGAGTATAGTATGATAGCATTTTATTATGTCAAATACTATTTGAAAAACTTAAAATTGGGGATATTTTTGAGTATGTGTTTTGTGTGTATATTTTTTAATGGATAGAAAACAGAATACGTGGAGAAGGACCTTAAGATTTGAGGTGATTGACACACCTGGTGGCTCAGTTGATTAAGTATCTGACTCTTGACTTCGGCTCAGGTCAGATCTCAGGGTCGTGAGATGGAGCCCCGCGTTAGGCTCCACACCTAATGTGATGTGATCCCAATGCCTGGTTTCTTTTAACAGGTTTTCTTACCTTTGCCCCCAAAAAACATTTTTACCCATTCCCAACCCAAAATCTGAGCAGTTGAGTGGATTCCATGAACATGGAATTTCCACTTGAGCTAGGTTAGGGTAGAGACACTACTTGTGAAGATCTAGCGTTCATATCCCCATTTATTTTCAATTTTATTTTTTTACAGGATTATATTAATGTGCTGAAACAATTAGTATTTTAGTTAAATACTTCTGAAGTAGTTTATATTCAGTTTAGAAGAAACTGTTTGTGTGGATCCAAAGCACCACTGTGATTGCGCCCATCCAAAAGCCCGAACGGCCTGTTAAGTTACGCTGGCCTGTGGCCATCGGTGCCATGCTCTGGCACGAACAGCCCCACCTGTTAGCCTTCTCCCAGGGACGACCCAGAAGTAGTGGTAGTGGTAGCTAGTTTTTGTCAGACATGGCAGATGGGCTAAGTAATGGAATAAATGATAAACGTAAGGTCCGGTGAAGAAACGAGGTACCATATCCATTTGTCATTGACATTTCTGGCAAAAAAAAAAATTCCCAATCTAGTTTTATCAGAGGAGTTCCAGACCCATTTCTCTCTCTCTCTCTCTCTTTTTTTAAGATTTTATTTATTTGAGGAAGAAAGAGAGCACGAGTGGGGCAGGGGCGGGGAGAAGCAAACTCCCGTCTCAGCACAGAGCCCAACTCAGGGCTCCATCCCAGGACCCCAGGATCACCACCTGAGCCAAAGTCAGATGCCCAACTGACTGAACCACCCAGGCGCCCCTCCAGATCCATTTTTAATTGCTTCTGAGTCCTCGCCAGTAGAATTCCACAGGCCCGGTACTGGTCTCAGTCATTCTTTGACCAAAGTCTAACACTTAACTCATCACTTTTTGCCACCTGCAGCCAAATCCCTCTTGCTCTGTTTCCTGTGCACATCCGTCCTTACCCCATACAGAAACTTGCAGGTTGTCTTTGGACATTTCTTGTCTCCTCCTGTCATACGTACTTTATGTTCCAAGTACATTCTGATCTGACGTCTTTCAGCGCAGACCGTGTTAGTTTTGGACCTCGTTTCTTGTCTTAACTCTAATGGCTCTTGTCGGCTCTTTAGGGGTGTCCGTGTCCCCCCGTCTGTTCATTCTGATTCATCTTCCACATTGTCGTGCAAGTTCTCCTCCTAAAACCAAATACTCTGTTATGTACTCACCAGCTTAAAAATCTTGAGCAGCTCACCACTCACAGGGTAAAATTGCACCCCTTAGCCTCAAGCAAAGGTGTCCACTTTCGTGAGAGGCCAGCAGCCCAGGCACAGCCCTCGCTGCCTCTCACCATGGCAGACTCCGTCTCCTTCCCTGTCATGTGGGGCGGGGGAGGAACACTTGACCTTCAGGTTATGAGACTGGGCTGAGGTACTGTTGGCGACCGGTGTTCTTACTGAGGAGCACGAAGCCGCAGTGCTGCTGGTGAGAAGGGGGCATGGTGCGGACGCTCAGGAGACCTAGAGTTGGCAGCTCCGCTCCAGCGTGTGTCCCCAAAGGAAGCAGAAACACAGATCTGCACAAAAACTTGTCTGTAGTCCTAGCTGGAGACAGGCCAGACGTTCATTGGCTGCTGAGTGGATGAACAAAATAGGGTATTTCCATAAAACGGACTGTCGACCAACGAAAAGGAGTAAGATACACACGCTAGAGCGGGTGAAGCCCGGCAACATTCCACTGAGCTAGAGAAGGCAGTTACAGAACACCCCCCCGGGGTAGGATGCCGTGTGTGAAATGTCCGGAATAGGCGAGTCCATGGAGGAAGGGGTGTGGGGGTTGCGAAGTCACTGCTAACCAGTGTGGGCTTTCTTTGTGGGGCAAAGAACACTCAAGGTCACGGGATTGCGCACTGTGAAGGGTGAACTTTATGGTGCGTAAGTTAGACTGTTTTCAAAAATAAGTAAGAGGTCACTCTTGGTACCCCTGCTTTCAGTTTCCTGAGAAGCCTCACAGGCACGAAGCCTGTGTTGTCTTTACGTTGCATCCGGCACACCGGGCCTGGTGTGGAGTAGGTGCCTACTAGGTGTTGCAGTGTGAGCAAGGCTTTATGAAGCACGCTGTTGGGGCTTCAGGTCAGGCGGAAATTGGTGAAATCTGTGAAAACCTCAGATTTCATTACATCATCAACGTATATCCTCGCAGCTATTTCAGTTCTGATGCCAGAAAACCATGGACTTTGAGGACTCTAACCAAGTGGTCTCTTTCCCTCCTAGGATACACACCTGCTAAAACTGCTTAAAACCTTAGAAGGACATGCTTACGGCGTCTCCTACATCGCGTGGAGTCCGGACGACAGCTACCTTGTTGCTTGTGGCCCAGACGACTGCTCTGAGCTCTGGCTTTGGAATGTACAGGTGAGCACGTTCGTCCTTGCTTGAGCCTTTCAGTACAGCGTGGCCGTCCTGCACACACTCCTTATAGCTTGATTCTCGCCAGAACACAGCCACTCAGCCACAGTGACCAGAGTGTGTCCCTCATAAAAGAGAATTCAGCGAATGGAGCCCAGGTGTCCACGCTTAGCAACTTAACTATCAGGCTGAGCACAATAGAGTATTTAAAAGAAGGACGAAAGAGTATTTTCAGTAATGTTGTGCTTTGTACTGCAGAATTCATACTATTTACCGTGGCACTTTTACCTCCAAGAAGATTTTATGGTGGTTTCACAGTTTGATGATTGTACGTGAAACTTGACCTTTCAAGTCTACAAACATCTGCAGGGAACGAGATCTCTCATTCTGGTGGCGGTCATATCATCCTCTCCTTACTGTGTTTAATACGCTGATCTAGTTTAGGAAAAGTAATGTCTCAGTACTTTAATAAGGACTCTGTTACTGTTTCTAAACCAAAACTTGACCTTTATCCAGGGTCCCTTTTTTTTTTTCTTTTTACAAAAATTTGCATTAAGTTCCATTATTTTTGTACTATTTTGGACACCTTATAGTTCCAATTTAAAATTTTTTTTTAACTTCCTTCCGTAAGAAAGGAAGGCTGGTTAGATGCTGTTCTTTTCATTTTTCTGCCCCGAGGCGAGGGTATGGTCGGGGCTGTGGCCTGAGTATACCAGTGTGCGCTGAAGGGCTAGGACTGTGAGTTCGGGGACCTGTACATGAGTCGGTTTTTACTGAGAGAGTGGAGCTAAAACTGCACAAGTGTGCAGAGGGCAGAGCGAATACTGAGACACACCTGAGGGCGATACGCCATAATCCCCGCCCTGCTGTCACACAGTAGGGTCTTCTTATGCCCACTTACTACTTATGTTTCAACCCCAGCTTTTCATTAGGAGAGTTGTCAAATACTAAGGAAAGTGGAGGAGTACAGTGGTGACCCTTGCCCACCACCTCGGATGCAGCAATGAACATTCTGTATATTTTATGTGGACACACGCATGCACACATGTAGACGTGCGTACACAGACATCCACGTCCAAAACATTTGGAAGGAAATTACAGATGCGATGTTTTATACCAAATACTTAAGCATGTATCTTCTAGAAAGTAACATTCCCTCATATAACACGTCCTCATCTTATTCAGGAACGTTAGCTATCATTCTCTAATATCTAATGTTCGTGTCATAACTAAAATCCCCAGTTGCTCCCCAGATGTCTTTAGGCCATTTTCATCAAACCAGTGTGTCATTGGTGTTTGTGATTGGGTGCGGGGGGCTGGGGCGGCGGGGGTGGGGCGGCAAAGTCCAGAAGAGAAGAGACGGCTTTCTCGCACTAGAATAGACTGGAATGAATCTGACCTAAAAGACAAAATGGGTTTTTTGGGGTTTTTTTTTCCCCTCAAAGAGAAGACGTATGGAGTCCTAATCGTCCAGTAGTGGACTGGGAATTGATGGTGGCTGTAGTCTTCCTTTGAGTCAATTCTGAGTTTCTGGACAGTTAGAGGGTGTTGTGGCTGAACTATTTGTGCATTACCTTACAGACTTTGTTTTTAGTCAGTTTGCACATTGTTCCTTATATTGTGAGGTAGTTTCCTAATGATAGACTCCCTCATACACCCACCGTCCTCTGCGCAGCAGAAGAAAAGATCTGCCTCAGCACTTAGTGTATGAACTTGTGTGAGCACAACATGCAGAGGATTCAGCCACTGCCTGTGTACTTGGGATTCTGAACTTTTAACTGTTTCTGTCTAGCAACCCAAAAAAGATAAATCAGCGAGACCTATTAGCAGCATGGGGGAAGGTTTTAAAATGGCTGATTTTTTTTCCAGTATAAAGGGAGACCTCTGGCTTTCTATTTTTGTGCCCTCTTTGCTTTTAGTACTTGGCCCTGTTCCCTGATCATACACTTTTGTTTTCACTTTTTTTTTTTTCCTGCTTTTGATTACCCATTTCTCACAGGAAAATTATGCCCATGTACTTTTTATTATACCAAGGGCAGCTGTTATCTCTCAGAGCCTGTTTCTAATCCATGAACAAAATGGAATCAAGACTAGATTAAATGGTATGTGTCTACCTTCTAAGTTCGATAACAGAAAAAAATAACAGGAGGATAGCTTAGGGTCATAACCAGTAAATAGTCTTTCTGACTTGGGAATCCTGTAAAATGGCTATGCTAAATAGTACAAAAGTCCCTCTTTTCTGTACTTTCAGTTGAGAGAAAATTAGATACCAGAAAAATAGTTTTCATTTCTCTCTTCCATCTTCCCTACTACATTTTTAGCATCTCAAATAGGAAATTTCACATAACTGAGAACTGCTGCACCCTTACCTTAGTTCAGGGGCCCTACTCTTTCTGTCCATTAATCATGTTCTTGAGGAACTGCTAACTGCAGTTTCGACGGTTTTAGAGTAAAATTTGCCAAGAACTATGGACTGAGGAGAAATGGGAACTCAAGGGAGTAGTGCCTGTAGCACTGAGCTTCTCCTTTTACTTGGGGAAAATATGATTTCATTTATAAACGTCATTGAAGATGAGAGTTTTATTAAGAGTTTATCTCATCAGACCTATTGTTGGGGTCATCTGTGCTGTGTTGTTCAGCTCCTGGTTCTTCTAGTTCTTCATTCCTCTTCGGAGAGCTGCAGTCTTGTTGGTTGGTTGGTTGGTTGGTTGGTTGGTTTTTTGTAAGGCCAGTTAGAACAGTTCATTTCTCTGATTAGGAATACCAAACTGACCTGATACCCAAGTTACTACTTTTTTTTCTTTATACATTCCCTTTAGAAGCCTATCTTGAAGGTGTTAGCCACAGTTTTATTTCTTTGTAGACGGGAGAGCTAAGGACAAAAATGAGCCAGTCTCATGAGGACAGTTTGACGAGTGTGGCTTGGAATCCGGATGGGAAGCGCTTCGTAACTGGAGGTCAGCGCGGCCAGTTCTACCAGTGTGTGAGTACCTCCTGCCCCCGTTCACTGCCCGCTCCTTTTGTGGAAATAAAGAATTCCTTTATGAAATATATTCTGTGAAGACCTACTTAGCTATCTTTCTAAATAAGCACCATCCAATAGAACTTTCTGTGGTTTTTTTCTTTTTTAACCATTTTAAAATGTTTATACCAAGCCTAGACTTTGAGTTTAGTAAAACATTAAATTATTTTACTAAATATTTTATTCTCATAAACAAGTTTCTAATGTATAGGATTGAAAATATTTAGTACTTTCTTTTGAGGATTTGTATCCCAGCTGTGCTGAATTTCATGAGTTGACCGTCTTAAATATGTGAGGACTAAAAGTGCTGATGAGCACTACCAGAGAACCTTCCACTCTTTATTTGAAGTATCTGCCCCATTAATCTCGGGTTGGTGGGATGATGACAATAAGGAATAGGTGACCAATCTCGTGACAAGGTAGACTCTGCCTTGAACATCTGTCTGGTTTCCGTGTCTCGTGTCACGGCCCGGCTTGCTGCCAGTGGGCACTTCCACGTGTGGTCTTAGGATTACAATTAAACAAGATCATGAATCCTGTAAATCATTCAGTGTAGCTGAAGGTCACTGGTCATAGAGACCTCTGTGTGCCCGGTACAGACCACAGGTGTCTTGTTGGTAAGCCGGCCGTGGGACTCATGGAACCTCGTGTCCTGTCCCCAAAGCACGTTTATGAGCCACAAGTTCTTTCCTTCCCCCAGTCATCTCAGCACACCTTACTGATCTACCTGTGATTTTCCCAGTAGTTTAAAAAGTTATTTCTGGAGTTTCTATCCATGAGCTAATACACTACTTGGATTTTTTACTTACTTATTTTCCCTTTGTTTCAACGGAGTATGTATAGTTGACCTATAACATTATGTTAGCGTCAGGTATACAACATAACGTTTTGATATCCGTGTGCATTGAAAATTACAACCACAGTAATTAGCCGTTCCCATACACAGTTGTGATGAGGACTTTTAAGATTTACTCTCTCAGCAACTTTCAGATATGCAGTCCAGCTGGTCTCCATGCTGTACTTCCGGTCACAAAACCGTTTGTTCTTGACTCCCTGGCTGCGAGATGACCCATGTGTGTCTCTGCTGACCCCACTGTCCCCTATAGTGTTGACACCTTCAGGGTCCAGGACTTGGCAGCTCCCCCATCTGTGGAATGGACATGGGATGCCTCTCAGAACTTTGAATATTCAACAAGATAATGATCCTTAGAGCTTTGATCTGTAGAACACATTACAAATTTGGTGATGGTTTTTAAAATGCCCTAACAGTTTCTGAGTTCCGTAAAGCTATAAGTAATGTTTTAGTAATCTTTTCCATATCCCAGCTTCAGAATAGTATAGGACAGGTCCCAGTATAACGCATTTTAAAGGAACATTTGAATTCTTTCCCAGTAGTAGGGAGACCCTCACTTAGAACTTAGGGATTCTTTCTTTGTGTGTGTTGTCATTATCTGCGCCTGGCTGCTTATTGACGGGAAGACCGATTTTACAGAGATTCTCTCCCCCTCCCCCTGAGGTATTGTTGTAATGAAATTTGACCTATATTCACATTTTCGTGATGAAAACCACTTATGGAACAATTAAGTCGAGCAGGAAAAAACAAACTTATTACAAAAAGATACTGCTAAGAGATTCTTTTGGTTCTTTGCTTCCCAAGCGCTGTTTCATAATGGGGTTCACAGTGAATTTCTCCCCAGGATTTAGATGGGAACCTCCTTGACTCCTGGGAAGGGGTGAGAGTGCAATGCCTTTGGTGCTTGAGCGACGGCAAGACTGTTCTGGCATCAGACACACACCAGCGCATCCGGGGGTACAACTTCGAGGACCTTACAGATAGGAACATGTAACTATTTTTTTATCCATTAAATAATTACTTTATTTAAAATGTGTGGTGGAACTCGCTATTTGAGAAGAGTTTTTATGTTTTGGTTTGGGTTTGACCTTAAATGGATTGGTGGGGGGCACCTGGGTGGCTCAGTCGGTTAAGAGTCTGCCTTCGGTTCAGGTCATGATCCCAGAGTCCTGGGATCAAGTCCCACATCGGGCTCCATGCTCAGGGGGAGCCTGCTTCTCCCTCTGCCTGCCTGCCTGCCTACTTGTGATCTCTCTCTCTGTGTCAAATAAATAAATAAAATCTTTAAAAAAAAAAAAAAAAAGTGGATTGGTGGTCAGGTGGTGCTTCATAACCATTAACTCACGTTTTTTTTCTTAATTGAAATACAGTCTCATACTGATTATAGACAAAATTGCAGTGTTTAAGCTAGAACATTTTATATTTTGATAATTTTTTCTTGATTCTTAGTATGTTGCTTTTAACAGATTATTTTCTGGTTACAGAGTACAAGAAGATCATCCCATTATGTCTTTTACTATTTCCAAGAATGGCCGATTAGCTTTGTTAAATGTAGCAACTCAGGTAAGTTTATTATAATTATAAAGATTTAGCTTAGTTCAAAATTTAGTATGATTTTTGGTGTATACATATAGAAATAATTATTTTCACAAATTTTTTAATTTTACTGTATGTGTTTGGTCCTTAGGTTTGTAGAGTCAACCATTAATTTATCAGAACATTGCCATTTTGGGTAAATAGGAATTGAAAATGTTCCATCAGGCAAAGGAATATTCACAAATTACTTTTTAAAATTCTTTTGAGGGAGAATAAATACGTCTATTTTCTTTTGCCTACAGGGAGTTCATTTATGGGACTTGCAAGACAGAGTTTTAGTAAGAAAGTATCAAGGTGTCACACAAGGGTTTTATACGATTCATTCATGTTTCGGAGGCCATAATGAAGACTTCATCGCTAGTGGCAGTGAGGGTGAGTTGTGTGCACGCGGTCGTTCGCGTGGATGGACGGGGGGTCGGGGGGGAGCTCTGTGATGGACTCAGTGCGTGAGGGTAGCCACGTCTCCAGGCGAATGCAGGGTGTGAGATTGACAATTGTTGGAGTTTTATCTCTCCGGCACACTGTTCTTTTCCCCTTTTTGTTTTTTTTGGGGTTTTTTTTTCCCCTTTTTGGAATGCCTTTGAGTCCGGATCGTCATAGATCAGCATGCCTGTTCTGGTCATGGGGAGGTGTGCGTGGTGCGTGCGTCAGAGCAAGATTTAGTTAATCTTCCGTGATGGTGTGCAGAGGTTCGTAGGATCTATGAAGTTAGGGTTAATTACAATGTTTTACCTGAACTTAGACAAACTCGACTCTGGTTAGGACCTGCAGTGTTTCTTTAATGGCCAAAGAGAATAATTTAGTTTGAGGATTCTTACGGTCTTGGAAAAGCTGAAATTGTAGAATTGTCTCTACTACTTTCTGAATACACGTACTCTCCAATCTAATAACATCGGTATTCCAGGCAGTCCTGTTCCTAAAGTAGTCAGTCGAATTTAAAATAGAAATTGTTTAAAATAGAGGGGCGCCTGGGTGGCTCAGTTGTTAAGCGTCTGCCTTCGGCTCAAGTCATGATCCCAGAGTCCTGGGATCGAGCCCCACATCGGGCTCCCTGCTCCGCGGGAAGCCTGCTTCTCCCTCTCCCACTCCCCCTGCTTGTGCACGCGCTCGCTCGCTCTCTTTCAAATAAATAGATAAGTAATCTTTAAAAAAAAATTGTTTAAAAGAGGCAACACAGATAGGTATTAAAAGCGAGTGTGCTTTTCCAGGCACTAGAAGCATAAATAAGGGCAAATTATGGCAGAATCTCTTTCAGCACCTTTTTCTTGAGCGCCTGCTGTATACTGCTCTAAGTGCTACAGCGGCACATTAGTTAAGTCACTTTTAAAAATACTGAATCTAGTTTTACAGCATAGACCAAGGAACTGGATTCTGTTGGTGATGTTCCATTATCCAAGGTATTGACCACCCCTATCTCGACGAAAAACTGATCTCGTTAGATACGAGGATCACAGAGTAACACGGGTTTTCCCTTTGTGTGTAAGATGTATTTAAGAATTAGGACAAAGACCTTTAGGGATTCATATGAAGCATAGGAATTTATCTTTTGTTTCTTTCTCTTAAAAAAAAAAAAACATCTGTCAGGGTGCCTGGGTGGCTCAGTCAGTTAAGCATCTGACCCTGGATTTCAGCTCAGGGTCATGGGATCGACTCTGTGCTCAGCGGGGAGTCTGCTTGGGAGTCTTTATCACTCTGCCCTGCGTCTGCCCCTCCCCTCCACTCACGCGCTCTCTTTAAAAAAAAAAAAAAAAAAAATTAGGTAAGATTGAGAAGAGAGAAGAGTTGGTTTGTAGGTAACACTTTTGAGAAGTTCACATCTTTCCAATTATTTTCTCCCACATTCTGCACTAGCTCCTCATTTCGCCTGGTCCAAGTACATGAAGTCTTCTGCCTGCTTGTTAGCGCTGACCCCCCCCTGCCCAGTCTCTCTCCCAAGCTCTGTTCAGCCCTGTCTCTGGTGGGCTTCCCCTCTTGGTTATGCTCCCTGTCTTTCTAAACGTAATATGGACCCTAGAAGTGCTTCAGAATACATGTGACTACCATTATCCCTAGTGATGTCAGTCCTTTAATTTTAAAGCCCGAACTAACTCTGAACTAATGATGAATCATTATTAATTAATCAAACCACATTATATTCTCTTTGGGCTAAAAATGAAACATGAAGTGAAGAGATGAGCATTCTCACGAGTCAGGTGGTTTAGAATGGTTCTGAAAAATGTTTTCAGCACCAAGTGGACATAGTGAATGCATTATGTCCCAAGATGATCACATTAATCCATTTGTCATTTATTTGCGAGGAATATATTCTAAGAACCTTCCAAATCCCAAATACATGAATGCCAGTATGAAATAGAGCAACTAGGAGGTGTTTTCAAAAAAGTTACATCATTACTCAATCTTTTTCACTGTGTGGGCAATGTGTAGAAAACCCTGCTTTCTTTTTTACCGCCACACAAGCCGTGGGTTCCATGGACCGCGGCGGCCGGCAGAGCTCGGTCAGCAAGCCTGTCGCTCTGACCCTTACCCTGCGAGTCCGAGGGCCTGCTGCCTCTCCGGCAGACACCATCCTTGAGTGTGTGCTCACAAAGCATCTCCCCCTGGCGGCCGGCAGGTGTCCGGTGCATTCATACTTTTCACTGTGACTTTGTGAACTTCCTCAGTTCAAGGGGAAGCGTAGCTAATCTGTTTTGTCTTTCTCTGTTTTTTTCTTTTTTTGCTTATTTCATTTTATGCAAGGAAAAAATGACTGAACAACATACACCTTCTAGGAAAGTATAATTCAGTTCTCCAGTGAGTGTGTCAGCTTTTGCTTCCCATATGCACACACAATGCTCAGAGGGAGTCCCAGCCTTTCATGTTCACGTTAGACGCTTTGAAAGCAGGACGTGTTCTTTTACCACAAATGAGCTGCTTCTCAGCACGCTGAGGTTTGCTCCGTGGGAAGTTCATCCCCCGGGAGCTCCCCCACCGGCCGCTAGTTGGCGGCTCGCCTTCAGGTGGAGCGCTTCTGTCACTCACGCAGGGTCTGCCTTCTGTTTGAGAACTGTCACCTGGACGTAGGTCCCTCTTTACAGTAACGTGCGCTGTATACTCTCTGCCAGGCTCTTTCCAAAACTCTTGCATACACAAACTGATTTTACCCTCACGCCATGTCGTGTGCAGATGAAGGATCGCCAAGAGTGGGTGGTGTGTCCACAGTTAGCGGTGGCCGGTGGTGGAGGGCGGGTGTGAGGCGGGTCATCCGAGTGCCTCAGGCCCCTTCCCCGGGAAGGGCAGAAGCACAGCACCCGCCTCGTGGCGGCGGTGGTGAAAATGATAAGTCAGTCACTGATGTATCTAGCACCTAGGACGCGGTGAACTCTCCGCAGAGGTTTAGCAGTCGTCTGCGTTATTGCTGCTGTTGGATTTGGACGCATCGCGGTTCCATCACCCCCCATTTCCAGAGCGTTTATCGTCTCTGTCCTACGTTTGTTTACATTGAGAGATCTTGCCTGTGATCCATTTCTCCGGTATTAAAGAATACTGCAGACTTCATAATGACTTGAGAGCTAATCAGTCACCTTTAACAAGGGAACCATATGTTTTGTTAAAATGCTTTTCTCATAGGGAATTAAACTATACATGTCATATTAAGTTCTAAAAATCGAGTCCTATGTTCTGTGTGTGATGATGAGAAATTTCAGATCAGTTGGTTTTGTTGAAGTACAACAGCACCCTGATCTCTCTCTGAATTCCTGTTTATCCAGATCACAAGGTTTACATCTGGCACAAGCGTAGCGAGCTGCCCATTGCGGAGCTGACAGGGCACACGCGCACAGTGAACTGTGTGAGCTGGAACCCACAGATCCCATCCATGATGGCCAGCGCCTCAGACGATGGCACTGTTAGAATATGGGGACCAGCACCTTTTATAGACCACCAGAATATTGAAGGTAACACCACCGCACACCGTCCCTGCGCTTCCTCCGGGTGACACATGGCCCGGCCTGTTGGAAACTTTTCAGTGTGGGCTAGAATTTACTTCCTCCCTGCTTTAGAGATTGTACTCTCTCCACAGGAGTTTCAGTAACCTGACATACAGGGGTGTGTGTGTGTGTTTGTGTCTGTCTGTCTGTGCATGTGTGGTGTGGGTGTGTGGGGGGGTGTCTGGTACATGTATGTGCGTGTGTGTGGTATGGGTGTGCGTGTTTGGCACGTGTGTGCGTGTGCACGTGTGTGGTGGTGACATTGGGGAAGATGAATGGGAACGCACCACCTCATTTACAGCCGCGTTGCTGTTTAGTTTTTTCAGCTCAGCACATCTTGAAAATCTCCGTGATACAGGAAGCATTTTATGTTTTCACACCCATGAGAACTAGCTAATAGTACAAAATGTGAACGACTTCAGAACGATTTGCTCTTGAGCACACACACCCATAACACCGTGTGACCCCTGGCCCCAGGGCACCGTGCGTGACCTGGAGAGAGGACGCTCCGATCTGCCCTGTGCCTTGGGCACACACCGGGCTGTCCTGCACAGTCCTGTGGCGGGGTAGGGGGGGCTGCCCGCATTTCTGTCGGGGGGGAGACGGAGTCGCCGTCCCGAGTCTGCAGGGTTTTCCGTGAGGATATGGTGCGGTTGAGCAAGACACCGGTGCTGGAGGGAAGACACGATGAGAAATCTCACGTAAAGGACGTACTGCTCTTCTCTCAAACAGAGCAAGTGAAATATTTGGTTTGCTTAGAAGGAAGCAAGTTCCCCAGAAAACAGATGACAAGATTTTTGTTCACCGCGTGTCCCACCTAGACGTTTTAGTGAGAAAGACCAGCCGCAGTGAGGTGAGAGTCGGCGCATGAAGAGGACGTGGGTGAAGAATTTGAGACCCGCTGCTCAGTGGTTCAGAGCCTGAAGGGCCTTTCTGTGTCTGCATCACTGCGGGACGGGCCAGCGTGTCTCTGGGAAATCTGCCGGCACCGAGACCCTTTGCCTCCGTGTGTTGTCCTGTTCAGGTTTCAGCGCCCGCTCTCAGGGACTGACGTGTTACAGATCCGTAACTGTGATTACATGTGTTTCTCTCATTTTATCAGTCATTTGGAAGTTATTTCTTCAAGGAAGCATATTTGATTTGAAATATTAGGTAGATAGTAAGAGATTTACCTGGTAAGCGGACATACTTAAGACACAGCTTTGAGCTTATGCCTGTACGACCGTGAAGTCCAAGCTGCCCCCTCTGTTGGTGTCGGGCGGGTCAGGTCGATGCGGACACACACCGCGTGGGTGAGCCTCATCTGGCGCCCTTGGGAGATCTGGTCCAATGCAGCATCTCTGCTTTGTGTTTTGGCAAGAAGTTCATTTATACCTAAAACAGGAAAAAAGTGTCTTCTGGGTTCTTTTCCTCCACTTGAATTTTTTATTTTTTATTTTTTTACTAATGAAAGTTATACCTGTTTGGAATAGACATTTTGAAAAATATAGATGAGGCTGAAGAAAATGACATTCAAAAATCATGACACCCTAAGATACTGTAAGTTATTTAAGCAAAAATATTTGATTCCCGTTTCAGAAACCCATCTGCTGACCTTTTATTCTAACAGTAGAGTTCCCTACTGTATCGTTTTGAGGGATGCGTAAAGTAGAATAGGATCAAGCAGACACATGCTGCAACGCAGACGAATCTCCAAAACAATATGCCAAGTGCAAGACCCGGACGCAGAAGACCACTTAGTGCGACCCCGTTATGTGAAATGAGTGGGCAGGTCCTTGGACACCAAAAGTAGACCGGTGGGGTGCTGAGGGCTGTGTGCTGCTGTTTGTATGACTGCTAGTGGGTGACGAGACGGTTGTCCAACCCTGTGAATGTGCCCGTAATAGCCACTGAACTGTGTGCAGGAGGCTTCCTGACCCGTTCCCGAAAACAGTGGGAACGTAGCACAGAATTCCAGGCTGAGCGGACGAAGCACGCGGTCCCAGGCGCCCTCCTACCTTGGACTTCACTCCTCTTTCCTTTTGTCATCTAATCGTAAAGATTTTCTGTTCCACAGAACTACTTCAAGGTTCATTTTTAAAGTATGAGATTCTAATTTGATTATTCACTTGGGTTTTCCAATATTCAAAGTAATGAATTTAAACTATAATAAGCAGACTAAGTAAGACACAATACGGACACATTGTTCTAAAGATTATGATGGAAAGACCAAGAACTTGCTATGGTGTGATTGTTTTCAGTGGTAGTACGGTTTGTAATGTCATGATGCGCTGATATTAAAACTTTCTAACTGGTGACTTTTTTCTTCCCCTCCCCTTTTCTCCCCCCCACCCCCCCCCCGTCCCCGAAATACATTTCATCCTGTCTTCATTCAGAGGAATGCAGTAGCATGGATAGTTGATGGCGAATGTGGAGCAGACGACTTCTGTTTAACTTAAAATTAGTCGTATTTTAATGGCTTGGGATTTGGTGCAAACAAACATGATTGATAGCTGGACAGACATGCTCGTCATGAAAAAAGAACCATTTCTGAAGCCCGATTGGGGCCAAACATTTACACCTTGCTTCATAGTAACCAGTTGAGATGAAGCACGTCGTTAGAACGTTGTTGGACACCATGTTGAATTATCCCCCCATCGGTTGTGAAGAACTGTGCTACATTCAGGCTTACCCATTGAACTCAGTATATATATTTTTTTCCCTCCTGCCTTTTGTCTGGTGGGATACCATTCTTGTTGCTCTTCTGTGTAATGAAGTTTAAATGCTTGTTTGGAAAACTTTATTTAACAGTTTAGAAGGCTTGATAGAAGGAGTGCATTAGTCTGAAGAGTATACATTGGATAGGAAAGAATTTCCTTCTTTTGTTTCTCCAAAATCTTTCCGCCTTATTTAGCTTGAGATCTTTGCAGCTTGGTTCATGGATTCTAGCCTTGCCCGTTGCGCAGTATATACTGATCCAGATGATAAACCAGTGAACTATGTCAAAAGCACTCTCAATATTACATTTGACAAAAAGTTTTGTACTTTTCACATAGCTTGTTGCCCCGTAAAAGGGTTAACAGCACAATTTTTTAAAAATAAATTAAGAAGTATTTATAGGATTAAAGTGACTTCATTTGTATACATTTGGAATCTAAACCAGCTTCAAAAAGTTCCCTCTGTGATTTAGATAACGCAGTATAACTGACGCTCTTCTGCAGCCCCACATGAGACTTGCCCAGGGGATCCAGAGTCATACCGTGAAGGTTTCCCCCCTTTGTTTTATTCCTGAAGGAACATCAGTACCTGATGTTGAAGAAATTCAAGATTAAAAAGAGAATTTTAAACCTCTGCCGACAGGAGAGATCAGTAGTCCACATAGGTTCGCAACAAAGCACGTTCCAAGTTGTTCTCGGCTCGGGAAGGTGTTCTGGTGCGATCCAGCGGGCGCGTGGCGATGAGGGGTAACCACTGGGGAAGTTCCTAGTCTGCTTGAGCTTGTCCGAAGAATTCAGCAGGTTCCAGACAGACCGAAACTGGGTTTAAAACCTCACAGTCCTTGATCTTAATGGCCCTTGATATTCTGACCTGTAGAGCTACATAAATTTACAGAAAGCTCCTTCTCAGTTTTCCGGATATTGCCATACTGAACCTCATTCTATACTGGTGCTGTGGGTAGTCCTTGCCTCCCCTCCCCCTTCGGTTTAAGGGAAGGTCTCTTTCGTGGAAAAGCACTTTTAACCCTGAGAATTTCACATTTAGAATAAGCCAAAAGCCTGATGTTCACATTGTGCTTTTAAACCCCGTAACAGCTGAATGCAGCCGACTTCCTCTCCTTCGAGACTCCCTCCCTCCCCTTCTCTACTAGTAGAGGCTCCGGGGGGACCGCGGCTGTTAGGCTGGGAGGAGGAGTGGGAGTACCCCCGAGATAAGATTCTGGTGAAGAAAAGGGCTTGTACTAAGTCCCCTTTGGGGCCCAGCCAAGCCTGCCATCTGTCACCGGCCTGAGTTGGCGCACTCAGGACCCAGAGCGGGGAAAGGCTTGGGTGTCAGGAACTGTCCCGTGGGTGCGGGGCAGGGCGGCTGCAGGGAGAAACGGGAAAGTCAGGGAGGGGAGAAGAAAGACAAACACAATTGGCCTTAAACTAGCACGGATTCTCCCAAAAGCTCATAGTAAGAGAAAGTGACAGACCGTGGTCAGCAGATTATTTTATCAAATTGGTATGTAAAAGATTTCTTTAAGCTCCATTTTGCAGAGACCACCACTTAGAGAATCAAGAATTCCTGTTTTGATACTTCTGAGTTACAATAACTATATGTTACAGTTTATCTGGTACTTCATTTTTCTTAAATTACTTTTTACTTTGAGCTTGAATAAAAGTCTTCATTGGTAACTGTATATAATTAAGTGGCAACTTGTCTTTACCTCAGTGCAGTTAAACCCATTCGTGTTTTCAGTGATTCGCTAAACCTGAAGCCGTTAATGTGCCCCAGTCTCTACAGAAACGTCCGCACGATCGGTGGGCAGAGAGGGGCGGCAGCGGGACTGAGCTGAAGCAGTGGCCCAGGGCCACCGCTGACGCCCCCTGGGAGCCCTGCCTGGCCCGCAGTCTGTCCCAGGCTTCACCCAGCCAGCCCCAGATGGGGAGTTTTTCTGTGAAAAACACTGTTTAGAAAGGGGGGGGGCATAGAGGTGAGGCGCATTTTACAAAGAGCATAACTCCACTAAGTTAGTGGAGTGACAAGGATGCCCGCAGAGCAGCTAGGGGAGTGCGCTATGGGCCCCCGGGCCACACGGGGACTGTGCTAGGCGAGGTCACTGTGAAGACACCTAGGACGGGCTGAACGGGACGTAGCTAGAACCTGACAGCCTCTGACGGTGCTGTCGTCTGTAGACTCGAGTGAGGACACGGGCGAGCCAGCACAGGATACTAACAAATGTATAAACTGAAAAGTACCAATACTTTTTGCACATAGATCAAAATAGAGAATTTGGGCTCTAAAAATCAGGTTAGTAGGCTCGTTTCCATGTGCTTAAAAATGTTTTTGTTGTTCATTAAGGGCTGGAGTGAGTATGAAATTAAATGTCTTTTTCCTCCAAATAATCGGTTACGGCTAGTACAGCATCGGACTTGAGGATCAGGACTGGGGGGGGCAGGGAATGAAGAGCCAGCGGAGGGGCGTGGGGCACAGCTTTCTTTCTGGGCCTCGTGTCATTAGTGTTCGTCCCGGCTCCATTTCTGCTACTCTTCTAGGCCAGGCGAACATGTTGTGTTAAACCAGGTAAGTAGTCTAAACAGGAGATTTGCAGGCGTCCCGACACATGGGCCCATTTTAGTGGGTGGGAGAACAGACGGGTTACCTAGCTTTAAGTACAAATGAGCTGATTAAAGGAACCTGCTAGTTGAGAGGGAAACAAACAAAAATTCCCAATTTGGGTCCATATTTTCATCTGCACTCACCCCCGGAGAAATAGGGCGGTTTGTGTTCTCCAGAACGGTGTTCTGTGACATTAATAGAAAACCCTTCTTTCCCACCCCTCCCCGTCTTGAAATTTTCTTTTTTAGGCTGTTGTTTCCTGCACTCGAACTGACCCTATCACCTCTGCTCAGTGGTAAATAGACCGCACATCTCTTGAAAGGGAGCTATCTGAGTCCGTTTCTATGACAGCAGAAGAATGGCTGCTTTTGAATGGGGAGGAAAGAAGACCTTTTTCTTAATATCCTTTGTGTCCCATCTCCAAAATGTATAAACATCCCGATTTCATTTTACGTTAGTCTGTCATTTAGATTTCAGCAGCTCTCTTTTGGCCTTATTCTCCAGAATACTACTTGCATTTTCAAAACCATATCTGATTTCCTAGAAACGGCTAACTTTAAAAGAAGTGGTGACTTTGCATTTATTTACACTTAGACACTTTCTAAAAACAGGGTGAACTTAATTGAAGTTTTCAGTGTTGTTAAGCTATTGTTACAGTAGGTGCCCTATAGTTGCAGAAACAAAACCTGTAAAAACCCATCCCTGTCACTTAATCCAGATAGGCTGGATTTACTGAAACTAACAGTATGAAAACGTGTGTGTGCGTGCGCGTGCGTGTGTGTGCGTGCGCATGCGTGCCGTGCGTCTGTGTGGGAGAGAGTACTTAATCCATAAAAAGTCCTAGAAACCGCTTTCTGGGTTCTTGTCGATTTTACTAGTCTCGTGCACGTGTGAAGTGCCCTCTCTGAGTTTAGGGTCTGGTTAATACTGGTATATTTTTATAAGATTGAGATGTGTCCCCATCTTTAACTCAAGCATTTTCATTATCAGGGTCACTGTGCTAAAACCGAATCATAACATTTTTAGGCACAGATGGAAAAAAATGTCATTGGCTCCTTGAAAACGTGTGTGTGTGTGGCGAGGGGATAGATCCACAGGAGCATGTTTGTACTTACAAACCAAGCTGGAGAGATCACGAACAGGACTTATGTGCTGATCTCAAGACACCTAAATTGTCGAGATTTCCACGGCATTGTGATGGAACTGGCAGACACGTAGAGCTTTTGGTCTGTAATAACTATTTGCTATGGACAGATTCAGTGTTTCAGAGGATTGTGTTCTCAAATTTGGGGGGTTCTGGGTTTTTGGTTCTTGGTTTTTTTTTTTTAACTGCCTCAGATTATATTTAGTAGTTTAAATTTCTTTGCTTTATTATTTCATTAAAGCATAAAAACTTCAGGTCTCTGATATTTATTTTCACTCGTTCTACTAATTATTTACAAAACACCCTGTTAATTTTTATTTTATAAATGTGTAGTTATATTAAACGTCTTTAAAATTTTGTTCAATTGAAACTCCATTAACTTTGATTTGCTTTACTGGGTTTTTTTTTTTTAATACACCTTTTCCATGTCCGTACGTCGCACTTACCCAATCGTTTGTATCCCCTTCAACCCAATAAACAGAATGAGTAAGACGTGCCACGTCTCCTCGTGTCCATTCTTCTGGGCGCTCGGCACCGCTTCCAACCTCAAACAGCTGACTGGCTGAGTCTGACTCCCACATACCTACCTGGAGTTTTCAAGTTGGTGTTAAAGGAAGCATCACCTCGTGGTTGGGATGTCTTTTTTTTTAAAGGGCAGGTGTGCCAGGGGCGCCCGACTGGCTGAGTCGGTGGAACATGTGACTCGACCTCGGGGTCGTGGGTTCGAGCCCCACGTTGGGTGTAGCGATGACTAAAAAATTTCAAAAAAATTAAGGGCAGTTTTGCAGTCATGGATTAGTTTCGGAAAATTTAGGGAACACTTGCATTTTATTTATATTTTGAAGATTTATTTATTCAGAGAGAGAATCAGTCTCAAGCAGACTCGCCGCTGATGTGGGGCTTGATCTCACGACCCTGAGATCACAACTTGAGCCAAAATCGAGGCGAATGCCCGACAGACTGAGCCATTCGGGAGCCCCAGGAACTTGCGTTTTAAAGGAATCACATGCATGCCCCATGTTGTTCAAAAATATTACTGTATCTGAGATGCATTAGGAATTGCATATGTTGATTAGTAGAGAAAATACACTTTCAGTTTGAAATTAAAATTTATTTCCTCATGAATAATTATGTACTTTAAGATTTTATTTCAGAGAGCGCAGGAACCGGGGGGGGGGGAGGTGGACAGAGGGAGAAGGAGAAGCAGGCTTCCCGCTGAGCGGGGAGCCCGATGCGGGGCTCGATCCCAGGACCCCGGGATCACGACCTGAGCCGAAGGCAGATGCTTAACCCACTGAGCCACCCAGGTGCCCCATTAGTTATTTACAGATCTCCTTGGTGAGGGCCACCTGGGTGGCTCAGCTAGTTAAGCATCCAACTCCTGATCTCAGGGTTGTGAGTTCAAGCTCCGCATTGGTCTCTGAGCTGGGCATGGAGCCTGCTTAATTAAAAAACAAAAAGATCTTGAAGAAAGCATTGAGTGTGTACAAACCCACAGCACATTTGTGTTTGTGAGAAAAGGGAAAGAAAATCCCTTGTCCCAGTTGCCCCCTTTAGGAGGCTTCCTTCTAGGAGCAGAGTCCTGCACAGAAGGATGCTCCCCTGTGAAGTCTGCTGGGTGGGCAGTTGGCGGGAGTCTGCAGCGTCCTGAGGAACAGATGGGGGAAGTTTTTCCACTCGTTTTCTTTAAATACGGCTCTACTCTGCAGACTTGGAAACACAAGACTATTCATCTACGTTAAGCTGTCCTGCCAGACCCCAGCACCAGGGATACAGAACAAATCCCAGAATAGGGAGCTGTATTTGGGGGAGGGGAGTCAGAGGGAGAGAGAATCTCAAGCAGACGCCACACCCAGCACAGAGCCCCGGGCGGGGCGGGGGGGGATGGGGAGGCTTGATCATGACCCGAGCTGAAATCAAGAGTCAGATGCTTAACCACTGAAACACCCAGGTGCCCCAAGAGCTGTATTTTATTTTAAAGATTTTATTTATTTGAGAGAGGATGAGAGAGAGAGCATGGGAGGGGGAGGGTCAGAGGGAGAAGCCAGCTTTCCACCGAGCAGGGAGCCCAATGCGGGGCTCGATCCCAGGAACCCGAGATCATGACCTGAGCTGAAGGCAGATGCTTGACCGACTGAGCCACCCAGGCGTCCCATTTTGTGAATTTAGAGAGTAGTGGTTAACATCGTGGTTTTGGAGTCCTCAGGCCTCACTCGATCCTCTGACTTGACACGAAGCTCCGGACAAGTTCCTCCACCTGCGAAAGCTAGGTGCCTGCGTCTACAGCGGCAGCTAACCGTACCGTACCGGACACTCGGCTCTGTGGCCTCAGAGGACATGCAGTAAATCGGCAAACGAGTTTTGAAGACTGGCTGAAAAGTCAGTAGAAACGATGCAGTCAGCAAAATCCAGAATACTGGGGCTTCTAGGCAATAAATGACCTGACGGCTAGGTCCCATGACCCGGTTTCTGCAACAAACTGCAAGGAAAGCAGAGGGGAGCCAGCAGATGCAGGGACATTAGCCAGATGAAACGGACACGTCCTGTCTGGATCCCAGGGCGAACAAGCCAACTGTTGAGCTGGGGGGCGGAGTGGGGGGGACAGACGTCTGAGCACCACCTGCGTGCTTGGTCCTAAGGAATGAGTAGTTTATGTACGGTTTGCTATTGGTACTATGGTCGTGTGTTTTAAGAACCCTTATCTTACGGAGATGCATACAAAAATGCGACAGTATTGCAGGTTTAACGATGTCGATGTCGGGTAGATTAGGGGAAAACCAAGAATGTAGCTGGTAAGATACAAAATGACCAAGCCACGTGCCTGAGTCCTGTTACTGTGTCCGTGGGGCCACATGAGGACCGTGCCCCACGGGCCTCCACCCGATGGAGAGGACATGTCCGTTCTCATCGAGCCCCACAGGTTGTGCCTGCCGTCTGTGAGTTAGGCCGCCGTTTACATAAGCGGTAAGATGAGCCCTCAGAGGAGATTCGTTCCTCATCTGACTTGATTCCACGTCACATCCTCATTGAGAGACTATCGATTTCCGTGAACTGAGCTGTGAAAACATACAAAGGAAGGACTCAAGCTCCTTCCCGCTCCAGTGCCAGCCCCTCGCCCCAAAACCATGTGGTCCCCAGAGCAGCAGAAGGGGACGAGGTAGGGTCGGCACGTTCGTGCGTCACGCAGACTCCTATGCCCTCTCAAGGTCGCGCACGCAGGGGCCCCAGCGGGAATGGGGCCTTGTTTGCTAAGCGGACTTTCTGACCAGGTGCTAACGTTCGGTGGGACCTGGTGCGGATGACAGGACTGCTCGGTCACGGGTCCCCAAAGAAGCCAGCTGCGCCCGCCCAGCCTCCAGAGCAGCAACTGAACACAAAAGCAGCTCTGACCGAGGACTTGAAAGAACAGCCCGACACGGGACTGAGTCCCCAGTGAACGACCCCTGGGACAGCGAGTCTAACGTCTGACGTGATGACGGCGGCTCACGACGCTAACGCTTCAGCTGGGGGTGACCCTCGTGTTGGGAATTCAACTACTTCGGGACCAAAGATGTTTATTTAACTAAAGCAAGCCGCGTTGACTACGGGCTCCTAGAAGTCTCACAGGAAGCTCAGCTGAGAAGCACAAGGCCTCGCTGATGAACTCTCCGGAAGCCAGGGGAGCCCACGCGGCACAGGCTCTGGGGGCCGGCGTCTCTATGGTCCTCGCGGCGCTGCAGCCTCACTCCTCCGGCTCGCTGGCCGCCGCTGCACACCAGGCACGAATCCGCCCGCCACCTGACGCTTGTTGCCACCATGACTCTGGTTTCGGTAGCAAGGGCAGCAGGTGCAGTGGTCTCCGATCCTGGCCCCACAGGTCTCAGCCCGTTCAGTGGGACCTGCCTTATGTCCCTCCATCATGTCTTCCTTCCTTCCCAGACGTACTTGTTGCTGGGAGAGCCGTGGAACCACACAGTCAGACCCCCTTGTTCATCCAGCAGCCGCTCAGGGCTTGTGCGCGAGGAATGGTGTCAGGTGGCGGGAGCAGGAGACCCCCTGCCCACAAACGGCCGATCGTGCAGAGGACACACTAAGTGCCCGATGAAGTCCGCTCCATGGGAAGCATCCTCGGCTCTCAGCCGCAGAGCACGATGGCGTGAGAGGAAGCGGGCTCGGACTCCCACTGCCTTGTCATCGGCGAGGGAGGAGAGCCTCCCGAGGGGCTCCCGGGCTCGGGGGAGCGAGCCGCATCCCGGCTCTGGCTTCCTCCGTGCTCAGCGAGGACAGGGACGAGGAGCCAGGACGCGACGCAGGCAGAGGTTGCAGACAGGAGCACCCCATGGGCGCTGGGTCCTGCCCACGCAGAGATTCCGAGGCCACCTCCAGCCTCCCTTCCCGCTAGGCGGTGGGGAGATGGAAGGATCTGGAAGGTCAGGGAAAGCACAGCACACGAATCCCTAGCACTTAACCCCAGCTCTCGAAGTCCATGCTTCTCCCCTCTTTTCATCATTCATAGAGGTGCCCCGAGAAAACACAAACACTAGTCACCCCGTCTCCTGGATTTGATGCAGACGAGCAATTCAAGTTCGGAAGCTTTGTTCCTTCTCAACCAGTTAGTGTTTCAGAAGGGCTGATGGCCCAGGCTTGCGAACGACGCAGCTTTGCGCTCGCTTACTAGAAGACTCGTGGGGGGAGAGCAAACCCTCCACCGCCTTCAGCGGCTGCAAGTGACCTCTCAGCTCTCAGGATTGAAGCCTCCCCCCACCCCCGCATGGCTTTGTGGCTTTAAAAGCTTGAGCAGGACGTTGCGGGCACTGGAAAGCGGGGAGAAGGCCGGGGGAGAGATCGGTTTGCTTTCGGGTTTTTTTTTTTTTTTTAAAGATTTTATTTATTTATTTGAGAGAGAGAATGAGAGACAGAGAGCAGGAGAGGGAGGAGGGTCAGAGGGAGAAGCAGACTCCCTGCTGAGCAGGGAGCCCGACGCAGGACTCGATCCCAGGACTCCAGGATCATGACCTGAGCCGAAGGCAGTCGCTCAACCAACTGAGCCACCCAGGCGCCCTCGGGTTTGGTTTTTTAAAAGGCGGGAAGGCGCCTCCAAAGGAGAAGGTAGGGAAGGGAAGGTGCCCCCCAGTCACTTCCACATTACAGCTGCTTGGCTCCCGGCATCAGCTATACCAATAACCCGGAGGAGGGACTCACGAGGACCCGGAGGCCGACGGCCTCAGTTTCCCTCACCTGCCAGTCCCTGTTCTGCCGCGTGCGGCCAGGCGCTCCCAACAGGGGCCCTTCTGTCCAGGGAGTCGGGCTTAGCAGCCTCGGGGCTTCTGCCCAGGCTGGACCGAAAGGACACGCAGCGTCTGATCTCTTGGTGACCCCACACCTTGCGTAGCTGCCCACTTCTGCCCTGACGTGGGTCACTTCCCTGCACTCCGCTGTCACACAGCCGTGTCTGGCCTAGAGTCCAGCACCTCAGATGACATCAGGGCACAAAGGAGGACTGAGAATGAACGGCCGGGTCACATCACCAGGCAAACAGAACCCAAGAGGTCAACACTTGCACCAACCACAAGAGCAAACCCCGCTCCAGGGCACCGAGTTTGGCTGGGGAGAGCCACGTCCTGTCCCGCATCTCCCGAGTCGCACAGTGGACGTCGGCGCGGCGGGACAGAGCTGAGCGGTGACGGGCTCCACAGTTACTCGATGACCAGCTAGTCCTGCTCTAATTTGATGCGCGTCTTCTGCCAAATCACCTCTCCAAACCCATGAGGCAATGTAGCTGAGAGACCAGATGCCACAGGATCCTCAGAATACAAGAGCGGGACCCACAGGAGCCAGCGGGTCCTATGGGTTTGCGGGTAATTTTGGAGGCAGTGGCTTTAAATGAAAATTCTTGATAAAATTTTGCTTTTTTATTGTCCTTTCTAGAAGCAGGAATTACATTGTACCTGGGCAAATGGCTTATAGGGTTTCACAGATTCTGCAAAGAAAGATGTATTTTTCGAAATGCCATTTCCTGTTAACATTCTTGTGAAGACTTTTAGCTGACAGTCCCATAAATCTTGACACCGAATTAAATATAAGAAGCTGCCACAGAGGGGTCATTTCTCTCTTCCTTTGCCCAGGTTAACAGCGCTGCTTGCTCTACCCTCTGCCTTCCCGGCAGAGCTTCTGGTAGGCCTTCCCTCTCATCTGTGTCCTTTGTGTCTTGGCTCGCGAGGCCAGCGTGGTGCTCCCGCTGCTATGTACCGGTAACAATCTTCAACACACAGACGACGGGAAACACGTGTCGGGGTTCGGGCTAAAGTTGAGAACCAGAAATCTACAAAAACTCAATTCGTGTTTTTTAAATACTTTATATGGTAAAAATACAGCAAAAATATTTTTTTTTGTTGTTCAAAGAGGAAAAAGTATACTGCTATGGTCCCGGTTCTAAGGATGGGCTCAGCCGTCTCAGGCTCCCGGGCTGCGTGCTGCCGTGCAGGCGGACTCGGGCCGCGGCTCCTCCGGCTTCAGTCATTTATCAAAGCTAAAATCATACTGCAGAGAGAAGAGACGAGCGTTACCAGCGGCCCCTGAGCAATGTGCCGACAAGTCTGCTGTGTCCTGGCTTGTGTCTCTGAGGCTCAGCAAGGAACACTCATTTGAGCAAAAGTCAATCACTGCTACGGTTTTTACAAGAAGGACTACCTACTTGGGGCCTCTCAAAGCCCTGATTTTTTTCACAGAACAAAATAAATAACTGGGGTGGGGGTGGGAGTATAACCTAAAACCAACGTTGGGCTAGAGTTCAGAAGAAACCATGTCCAGAAAACAAAAAACAAAACATTAATCCCCTAGCCAGACCTCGCACCGCCGTCCCGAGGCCTGGAACCCCTGCTCCCCGTCCACCCGGGATGACCCTGCACGGACCTCACAGCGGCTGGCAGGGTGCGCCTGGGCCTCAGGATGGGCCCACTGCAGGCCCCGAGTGCTGAGCTCAGCGGCCCCCGCTTTTGCGCCTGACTCTGCGGAACCCCGGGCACCATCCACACAGCCTGACCGCGTCGGGCACGTGGCAGTCACTCGGTGGACACTCTGCTCAAACCACACCGCAGCCAACAGCGGCGACAGGACCATCATCATGGCCCTGTACTGAAGTCAGCCTGGCTGTGCTAAGAGCAGAGGACCAGAATACACAGAAACCCCTTACACACCACTAATGGCGTCCTTAGTTGTCCAAATTTCACCACACTAGTGAACGCCGGGCACAGCATGGATTGACGGCAGTAGCTAATACTCCTGAAAGATTTTTGTGGGGCGCCTGGGGGGCTCAGCCGTTAAGCGTCTGCCTTCGGCCCAGGTCATGATCCCAGGGTCCTGGGATTGAGCCCCACATCGGGCTCCCTGCTCCGCGGGAAGCCTGCGTCTCCCTCTCCCACTCCCCCTGCTTGTGTTCCCTCTCTCGCTGTGTCTCTCTCTGTCAAATAAATAAAAAAGAAATCTAAAGAAAAAAAATAAAAGATTTTTGCAAGTTAACTCTAGGTCAGCATAAACCCAAGTGCTTTACGTGCATTATCTCATTTAGTGCAGATCACAACCCAGTGAGGTAGGTACTAGTTACTATCCCATTTCCAGATGAAGAAACGGAAGCACAGAGAGGTTAAGAAACTAGCCCTGGGTCACACAGTAAGCAGCAGGACCCAGACTGCACCAGGCTGGCACCCAACCCAATACCAATGGCATCGAGTCCAGCACTCTCTAAAGATGGGCATTTTCCCCTCTAATTCCATGGGACAAACCCTGAGCATCAGCCACGCGGCAGGCGACCCAGATAGGACCAGCTGGAGAGGCCTGGTGAGGGGCCGGACGGCTGGGAATAAAGCCACCGGACACAGCCGCAACCCCGAGCACGAGAAAGCGTGAGGAGCACGTCCTCTGAGACCAGACCGCTCCCTCATCGGGGGCGCAAGCGGTGGGTGCACCCAGGAACGAGGCCACAGCAAGGTGGCGGGCGTGACAAGCTCGGGAGCGAGGCAAGAAAGAGGGACGCAGCGTCTCCCAAACCAGCTACGAAGGCTGCCTGCCTTACACTCAGTTGTGCGGGGTACCCCCTCAGCCTGCCCCCAGCGGCTGCCCGGCCCCTCCGCCCGCCGCGAGTACCATGCCACGGAGCCAACCCCTGCCAACCCCGGAGACTCGTGCACGCTTTCAAATCCCAGGACTTGGCGTCTACACCTCGTCCTCCCCTCCCCCTCCGCAAACCTGCATCCCCCGCCCCCCCCCCCCGCCCCCAGGGCCCCGCTGTGACCGAGAGCAGCCACGCAGGACAGCCGCAAGTGACACGGCTCCCAGCCCTGCCCATGGCCTCTCCAGAAACAACTATGAGGGAACTTCTCTGGCGGCCCAGATACCTTCAACTTGGTTTCACTTTAAAAAGTCAGAAAAGCCAGAAGACGGTGTGTCTTAATATTACATTTCTTTGGGGCGCCTGGGGGGCTCAGTCGTTAAGCATCTGCCTTCGGCTCAGGTCATGGTCCCAGGGTCCTGGGATCGAGCCCCACATCAGGCTCCCTGCTCGGCAGGGAGTCTGCTTCTCCCTCTCCCTCTGCCCCTGCTTCTCCCTCTCCCACTGCCCCCTGCTTGTGTTCCCTCTCTTGCTGTGTCTCTGTCAAATAAATAAATAAAATCTTAAAAATATATATATATAACATTTCTTTGCTCTTTATTTTTCACTGTTAAGGATTAAAAATTAAACACGTAAGGAGTGACGTATAGTTCGAGAACCAGAAAATGATACCAGTGTGCTTTTTCTATCCCAGTTTTTAAATTATTTAACTTACTTATATTTAAACTCAAGTTAGTTAACATAGGTATCCACAGATTATGTAAATATCGATATATCTGTATATATATGGAGAGAGAGAGTTTTTTTTTTTTAAGTAACTCTATGGCCAATGTCCCTCCTTTTCTTATTTTAAAAACCAGGACAGGGCTCCTGGCTGGCTCAGTTGGTGGAGTGTGGGACTCTTGATCTCGGGGCTGGGAATTTGAGCCCCATATTGGGCATAAAGATTACTTTAAAAAAAAATTAATAAAATACAGAAAAGCAAATATGATCAATAATGAAAACAAAGGAATCTAACCTAATTTCAATCCCATTTGTTTGTGGCTGGAATAAGCCCAGCAGACGGATTTTAGGAAGCCTGCTTTATCAGGCAGAGGCCAAAATGGCTCTGACTTCAAAACTGTTTCAGACAAACAGCAATTTTTTAAAACTGCCATCTCTATGCAGTTTCTAATTACTGGAACCCTCTGAATGACAGCAGTTTAGTTCAACACAAGTTCTTCCTAAGAGTCCTCATGCCTGTGTGAAAAATTTAAATTTACCTGGGGATAAGAATAGGCATGATCTAGTTAAGCTTGCATACAAAGGTTAAGCCTGACTTCTGGCCTCCTAAACCTTAACGAAATCATAGGCACACAACAATCTTGTCTCTCTTCCTTGTTCTGTTCATCGGCCTCTGACAGGTTAAGAGGGTGGCACGTTTATCTCTACAACATAACCTAACACGGGACGCATGAGGCTTCCCACGTCTGAGGGCCAGGCCTCGCTGGTGGCGCTCACCTCCCATGTGCCGAGACCGGGAGGCTGACATGGTTCTACCCGAATGGGCCACCTGGCTCGCGGGCGAGGCAGCGCCACACTCAGATCCTCAGGGCCGACAAAGACCGGGCCAACTCTCAGCTCTCCGCGCCTGGCCCCCAGGAGACCCGCGGCAGGCCGGTCCCTGGGAGTGCGGCCAGCACCGCTCAGGACCGGCAGTGAGGTCTGGACACCAGGGAAGGAAGGGAGAGCACGGGGACAGCGTCGGGGCTGAGGAGGAGTGAATGCCACAGAGCTGCTCCAGCGCAGGTCACAGCGCACGGGTCCTATGGCACTTTTATACAAAATGCACACAGCCGCCGGCATCCCGCAGGACCCCCCGGAGCTCTGGGTCGCCCGCGCTAAGTCCCGCAGGCCAGTGGTCTCACCTGCAGAGAGCAGGCATCGCAAACCGGGCAGGGCCACGACGCTGTACACTCACCTGTAGAGATACATGAAGAAACAGAGCAGGTGGAAGCCCAGCTTGATCATGGCTTCCTTCATGTGCGACTTCAGCTGCCCCCGGTTGTGTATCTCTGTAGGATCAAACACTCCCATGTTCCCACTCGGCACCATAATGAACCTGGTGAGCACACGTCAAAGGGAAAATCAAACCGTCAGTATAAATACTCAAAAGTAAGTACCCTATAACAGCCAACCTTTAAAAGTGAACCAATCATAGGGGCGCCTGGGGGCTCAGTCAGTTAAGCGTCTGCCTTCAGCTCAGGTCATGACCCCAGGGTCCTGGGATCGAGCCCCTGCTCAGCGGGAGGCCTGCTTCTTCCCCTCCTACTCCCCCTGCTTGTGTTCCTTCTCTCACTGTGTCTCTGTCAAATAAATAAAAAATAAATAAAATCTTTAAAAAAAAAAATCATAGCAGCCTTAAATTCCGACCAGATATGGACAGGGCGCCACGTGGTTTTCCTTTGAAAGACACAACACTTGTTAATTTGTGCTGTAATTTTCCGCCCTCTGAAACAGAACAGTGACAATCTGGAGAAGGATATTTTATGCATCGAGACCCTTTTACCCACCTGTAGGTAACTCCTAAACTGGTTATACCTACAGCCATTTTCCACCAGACACAAGTAAAGGGGACTCCAAACCAAAGCAATTTTACCAAGGTCTTAGAAACCTCTTTATTTAGAAAGTTCTAAAATAATTAATGCAACATCTTTATTAAAAAAGATTTATTCATTCGAGAAAGGGAGAGAGCATAAGCAAGCAGCAGGAGTGGGAGAGGGAGAAGCAGGCTCTCCGCTGAGCAGGGAGCCCGATGCGGGGCTCGATCCCAGGACCCTGGAATCATGACCTGAGCCAAAACCAAGAGTCGGACGCTCAACTGACTGAGCCACCCAGGCGCCCCTTAATGCAACATCTTTATAAGGAGCAGTGTCAAACATAATTATTCCCATTTCACAAAAGATAGAAAAGAAAAATTCTATGAAAAGAGAGACTCTATGTCCAGATGAGAGCCCTCCTCTGTGGTGCTCCTGCTGATCCGGAGATAACCCGCCTCAGTCCGCACGGTTCGTAAATGGCGCCCAGCTTACAAGCACAATTTAAAGAAGACAGAATGGAAATGATTTACGGTAAGTACCACCATGGTAAAAACAAAACTCCTCTTCAGTTAAGACAGCAGATAGTTGAGTCAACATGTAATGTCTAGCTTTACGTAACTTTGTTACAAACACAGGATATTATTAAATACTAATACTCTGACAAGCCAGGAATCTACTTCCCATAGTGATGGAGGCCTGACCACAACGGGACAAGTGAAGGCAGAAGAGAACGGCTCGGCCAGCGTGCACCTCCTTCCGACTCTGAACCAATTCCACCCAGTGTTCCCACACACAGAAGAGTCCAGTTGTTTTTAAAAAAGCCCCGAAGAGACTACGTTCAACATATGGTGGAGTCTTTTAGGCTTTCGTATTTAATTCACGTCACTGTGTATGTCAGAGTCTTCTTTCCCCAAAGGACGGGTCACTCCAGGAGGGTCCAGCAGTGTAAGTGTCCAGGTGGCAAAACGCCGACTGCCCCCGCCACTAGTACGACGATGACGTGTCCTGACCTTGCGCCGTCCCCAACCCCTTCCTGCCACACACACGGTTTCTCAGCAATGACTTCTGTGAAGTGCAAGTGCCCCTGAGGCCCACAAATCTGAAACTCTCCCCCAAATCTTGCAGCCCATCTAGAGCTGAGTGGAGGATGACACGTGAGTGTGCAGACACCACCTCAGCTCCGTCTCTGATGACAGTCTTGTCCTCCTCTGCCGTCCAGGTGACCTCGCAGCGCCATCACCATTTTTCCCGGTGGTCCTGACGGGCTCTCTGCCCCACCCTTCACAGGCCGCCTCCCTCCTAGCGCCGCATCCCCGGTGGTCTCCTCCGCATTCCTGCATCCCGACCTCCGTCCAGCTCCACGGCCTAACCCCAGACTCTGAACGGGCTCCCCTACCTCCTGGCTTTTCTCCACCATCCAATCGATACTACACGAAGCTTCCAGAAAAGTCTTCCCAAAGATACTTTACTTCATCAATTTAGTTACTCAAAAACATAAAAAGACTACATGAATGGGCTACTAAGCACATTAAAAGGTCCTCAATTCCCTTAGTCATTAGGGAAATGTAAATCAAAACCACAGTGAAACACCACACCCAGCAGGATGGCTAAACTAAAAAGATCCTGGGGCGCCTGTGTGGCTCAGTCAGTTAAGCGGCTGCTTTCGGCTCAGGTCATGATCCTGGGGTCTTGGGATGGAGCCCCACATCCGGCTCCCTGCTCAGCGGAGAGCCTGTTTCTCCCTCTCCATCTGCCTGTCACTCTGCCTACTTGTGCTCTCTCTCTGTCAAATAAATGAATAAAATCTTTAAAAAAAAAAAAAAAAAACTAAAAAGATCCAGGGGCGCCTGGCTGGCTCCATTGGAAGGGCACGCGACTCCTGATCTCGGGGTCAAGAGTTCGAGCCCCTCGCTGGATGTGGAGAGGACTTAAATAAAAACAAATGTAAGAAAGAAAGACACACAACAGGTTGGCGAAGATGTGGGAAAAGTGGAACCCTCGTAACACAGCTGAAGAGAAGGTAAAATGGTGCAACTGTACCTGGGCAGTTCCTCGGCAGGTTAAACATAAACTTACCATATGACGCAGCAATTCCACTCCTAGGAAAAATGAAAACGTATGTCCACACAAAAATGTGCACATGAATGTTCAGGAGAATTATTCATAACAGGCAAAAAACAGAAACAATTCAAATGCCCATCAAGTGCTAATGGACACACAAAATGTAGTCTATCTGTACACTGCAATATTATTCAGCAATACAAGGGAGTGAAGAACCGATACCTGCCACCCACGGATGAACCTTGGAAACATTACAGCGAGTGAGAAAAGCCTGTCATAGAAGAGCACGTACTGAACTCTTCTACGACGTGTCTGTGCAGAATGGGTCTTAGGAGACAGAACGTACTCTGGTCGCTGCCAAGGGCCGGGAGGGGAGGGCAGGAAGGAGTGACTGCTAACACGTAGAGGGCTTCCCTTTGGGGTGATGAACCTGTTCTAAAATAGACTGTGGTGATGGCTGCTTAAATCTATAAATACACCAAAAACATATCAAAAAGAATACTTTAAATGGGTGAATTCTATGCTACCAGTACTCGTATTTATGTATCAACTCCTTGGACCAGGATTCTCTGTGACCCATCCTAATCAACATTACCAGCTTTGTCTATTCCTACCCCTCATCTACGTGACTGCCACCGGGTTAGTGCTTAAATATGCCTTGCGTGTCAGCCTCCTGGTTTCCCTTCCAGCCCTCCCCCTCCCCGTGCCTGGCACACCGGGAGAATCCCTCACCCACCCTGCACAGCTCCACTCACACCCGCCCTCCTGAGAGGCCCAAGCGCAGCCATCCGACTCCCTCCTAGCCGGAGTTCCCCACCGCTCATCAGGCCCTGCAGCCCACCTCACTGACCTAGAGTATTTTGTTATTCTGTGTTTTGCCTCTTTGTCCACTTCATATGTCTGCATCCCCAAAAGCGTAAAGTGCAGACATCTGAAAAGAGGGGAAGGATCCATCTGTTGGTTTTTTTAACCTTTCTATTTTTTTAATTTTTTTTTTTTTAAAGATTTTATTTATTTATTTGACAGAGACAGAGACAGCGAGAGCAGGAACACAAGCAGGGGGAGTGGGAGAGGGAGAAGCAGGCTTCCTGCTGAGCCGGGAGCCCGATGTGGGACTCGATCCCAGGACCCTGGGATCATGACCTGAGCCGAAGGCGGTCGCTTAACCAACTGAGCCACCCAGGCGCCCTTTAATTTTTTTTTTAAAGATTTTATTTATTTGACAGAGACACAGTGAGAGAGGGAACACAAGCAGGGGACTGGGAGAGGGAGAAGCAGGCTTCCCACGGAGCAGGGAGCCCGATGCGGGGCTTGATAGGTGCCCCTATTTTTTTTAATTTTTTTAAAAAATATTTTATTTATTTATTTGACAGAGAGGGAGAGAGAGAGAGAGTGAGCACACACAAGGAAGGGGAGTGGGAGAGGGAGAAGCAGACTCTCTGCTGAGCAGGGAGCCCAATGCAAGACTTGATCCCAGGACCCTGAGATTTTGACCTGAGCTGAAGGCAGATGCTTAATGACCGAGCCACCCAGACGTCCCCCCTAACCTTTTTAAAAAGAAGGTAAATTTATGAACAACCGTCGATCTGTCGCGGCCATCATCAGGGCAATAAACCCACATGATCTCTGTGATGACAGGAAACAGAAGCTATGGACTTTATCATCCCCCCCAATAAAACCTCACAGAGCCAGGGTGCCTGGGGGGCTCAGTCATTAAGCGTCTGCCTTCAGCTCAGGTCGTGATCCCAGAGTCCTGGCATCGAGCCCCACATCGGGCTCCCTGCTCAGCCAGAGGCCTGCTTCTCCCTCTCCCACTCCCCCTGCTTGTGTTCCCTCTCTCGCTGTGTCTCTCTCTGTCAAATAAATAAAATCTTAAAAAAAAAAACCTCACAGAGCCTCTGCCAGTCTGTACTCTGCACAAAGAAGCCGCACCCAAGCCTGCTCTTCTGCTGGCACCTGCTCGGGGCTCACAGAAGGATGCTGCCATGTGCTGGGGTATCGCTGAGATGCAGCCTCAGAGGTTCCCGCTCTCACTCCCAAATTCGTGTTCTGCTCAGTGTGACCATGGGGACACTAAGCTGTGCTCAAAGTCTGCGAGGGACTGCACCTCAGCAGGTGGGTCAGGAGCCCGTGCTTCTAGCTGAGCTCAGGTCAGGGGGCTGGTCTACGGGATGACCATGGGAGAGCAACAAGAAACTGATAAAGTTATTCTTTCCCTCCAGAAAAGAGGTAGAGAGATTTAAAATCTCTTCTCTAGCTCAAGTTCTAGTCTCACGATCTCATATAAATTCATTCCCCCAAATCCAGTCACTTCCTCATCCTCAGGGCTTCCATTACCACGTGCTCCCTATCCCCTTCCCACCCCTCCTTTATTATTTTCTTTGTCCTTCTTTTTCTAACTGCACTTTTAAAAAAATTACACATATGAGGCACTGGGCTGGCTCAGTCCGAAAAGCATGTGACTCCTGATCTTGGGGTCGTGAGTTCAAGCCACACATTGGGTGCAAAGATTACTAAACAAAATAAATAAACTGTAAAAAGTTAATAAATAAACTTTAAAAAATAAATAAAAATTAAAAATCACATTTAGGGGCAACTGGGTCACTCAGTCATCAAGCGTCTGCCTTCGGCTCAGGTCATGATCCGGGATCCTGGGATCGAGTCCCGCATCGGGCTCCCTGCTCGGCGGGAAGCCTGCTTCTCCCTTTCCCACTCCCCCTGCTGTGTTCCCTCTCTTGCTGTGTCTCTCTCTGTCAAATAAATAAATATAATCTTTTAAAAAAATAAAAAAATAAAAATCACATTTAAAAATTAAAAATCACATGTAAAGATCAGCGGATTTTACCCCAAAACTAGATAAAAGTTTAAAAAAAAAAAAAAACAAACCTAAAAATTTAGCAGAACAACTAAAAATAATCCCAAGTTTGTCAACATTATCCCACAGTTCACAAGAAAATACATACTATACAAGTGCCCAACTATACTATTATATCCAAATAGTGTTTACACCAAGCTATGTTTGAAAAGCTTCCTAAATTCGTTAAGTTAGAATTCTGATGTTATCCAGTCTGCATTCTTTAAAATAAAATTCTCTCTGGAGCGTTCCAAATATACTCTAATTAAAAACCTGCAGATAGGGCGCCTGGGTGGCTCAGTTGGTTAAGCAACTGCCTTTGGCTCAGGTCATGATCCTGGAGTCCCGGGATCGAGTCTCGCATCGGGCTCCCTGCTCGGCGGGGAGCCTGCTTCTCCCTCTGACCCTCCTCCCTCTCATGCTCTCTGTCTCTCATTCTCTCTCTCGCAAATAAATAAAATCTTAAAAAAAAAAAAATTTAAAAACCTGCAGATATAAGTAACAAGAATCTTATATTCTCAGACTTTTGATCATTCTTAATGTAAAACCCATAAGTCCTTAGACATCACAACTAAACATTCCATATTTTTTAAATTTACACATGTAAACTTGTGTTTTTTGTTTTGTTTTTTTTAAAGATTTTATTTATTTATTTGACAGAGAGAGACACAGTGAGAGAGGGAACACAAGCAGGGGGAATGGGAGAGAGAGAAGCAGACTCCCCGCCGAGCAGGGAGCCTGATGCGGGACTCGATCCCGGGACTCCAGGATCATGACCTGAACCGAAGGCAGTCGCTTAACCAACTGAGCCACCCAGGCGCCCTAAACTTGTGTTTTTATCACAAGAGTAGCCCATGTAAATTGCTACTTGTCCAGTATACCAAAGGAAACAAAAACATATGCTGATTTAATGTAGGATTCTGCGGTCATGTGTTTCATGACTGGCACATATTTTATTGCAGAAAAAAAGCTATTACATCTTTTTAAATTTTTCTTTAAATTGATGTGACACAAAGCCGCAAACAAACTATACTCACCGATATATATTCCAAGTGGCAACAGGCAAGTTGAGAAGGAAGATGAACCAGTGCAATGAAACGAGCATTAATACAGTGACAATGGTATGGCCAATCAATTCTGGAATTACCCACTGCAAGGGAAGAACACAGTATTACATCTCCCTGCTGTGCTCTTCCTGAATGTGCATGTTATTTGAAGCTAAATCAGTGAATACAAAGAGAATTTACAAGTTCGTGTTTCAAGATTATTTTTAGACTCAGATGACCCAGATCTCCATACTGCAGGAACTGCTTACTCCATGCAAATACATCAAGGCACAGCTTAAAAATAATGTCCTTAAATTTCAATTATGTTTTATCCTAAGCAAAGGTTCAGATTCATTCACGAAGAAGGCATGACTGACAACCGGGGGGGAAATGGAGCATCATTTACTTTCTAGTCCAGAGTCTGTGCTAAAGCCTCTTACTCTAATTTGCGGTGGTTTATATCCCAATATATAATGCCTTGCAAGTCAGAGTATCAATCTTCAACATTTTCCAATCTCCAGAATCCTGCAGGGAAATCACTTCACACACACACACGCACACAAAAGGTACTGTAACAGCTCACATTAACAGTTCAAAGTTGAGTATGGAGCGCCTGGGTGGCTCAGTTGGTTAAGCGTCTGCCTTCGGCTCAGGTCATGATCCCAGGGTCCTGGGATGGAGCCCCACGTCGGTGGAGAGCCTGCTTCTCCCTCTCCCTCTGCCTGCCTCTCTGCCTACTTGTGCTCTCTGTCAAATAAAATCTTTTTTTTTTTCTAAAGATTTATTTATTTGAGAGAGGGAATGAAAGACAGAGAGCAGGAGAGGGAGGAGGGTCAGAGCGAGAAGCAGACTCCCTGCCGAGCAGGGAGCCCGATGCAGGACTTGATCCAGGGATTCCAGGATCATGACCTGAGCCGAAGGCAGTCGCTTAACCAACTGAGCCACCCAGGCGCCCCCAAATAAAATCTTTAAAAAAAAAAGAAGTTGAACAAATATGGTAATGAAGCAGGATGCCAGACTACTGGCCTTCCAGCACCCACTGCCCTTCTGTATGCTCTCTTTGTTAACTGTGCAATATTCTAGTTCTCATGCACCAGAGCTATTAGGTCCTCCATTCACCAATAATCTTCCTCCGCTATGAATAGAGATTTTTCTTTTAAAGGAAATTTATTTACGCAGACACAAACTGGTAATCCCCACTTGCAGAAATAAGAGGTTAAATAATTTGCCCAAAGTCAGCTACTTAGTGGTAGAACAATACAGTATAAGCCCAAACACAGTGGCCCCAGGGCTCTCTGCACTTAGATTTTAGAGAGTGTTTTTGGAAACAAAGAAGGGATTTGCTAGGCCTTAAACCTAATTTGCAATCAACTGGAACTTTTTAATATGTAATACGGATCTTTTTAAAGTGTAACCAATTGGGGCACCTAGGTGGCTCAGTCATTAAGTGTCTGCCCTGCCTTCGGCTGGGGTCATGATCCCGAAAGCCCCGCACTGGGCTCCCTGCTCAGCGGGAAGCCTGCTTCTCCCTCTCCCACTCCCCCTGCTTGTGTTCCCTCTCTCGCTATGTCTCTCTCTGTCAAATAAATAAATGAAATCTTAAAAAAAAAAAGAGCCAATTTAAAAGAATAAAAAAAAGTGTAGCCAATTGCACATAGTGCTGACCAGTGCGAGCTCCAGAGTCAAACCTGGAGTGGAATTCCTGCTCTATCCTACTGATCAGCTTAGCAATCTTAGAAAAGGTCACCTACCTGCCCTGAGCTATGATTTTCTTCTCTATAAAATGGAGATGACGATCCTGCTGTACAGAATTAGATGGACAGCCCGCCGAAGCCACAGGCTGAGCGAGCACTCCTTACAGGGCAGCCGGGTTCCTGCTCCTCTCTCTGTGCCCTCCACCCACATGGCAGTAGCTCCCAAAGTGTATTTCTTACCGTGTTTTCCACAAACAAACTGGAAGCAAAAGTTTTAGGAAGTGATACTTAACATAATGATGCTTGCTTTACTTACTTTCAACCAAGCTCTATGTTTTCATTCTCTTCGCTGCTTAGCAATGTGTTCTTCCCCCAATTGCTCTCTGAATACCAGCACTAGGCTTACAGCCCCCAGCAGGAGCCTGGAAAATTCTCCTGTGGAGTAACTGAATGGTCGCAAGAGAGAACACAGACAGAACAACTGCCCTTGGGGTACCCCAACAAAAGTCCAGGTAGACTTCGGCCAACAGCCTGGAGCGCGCACGGGCTTCCCGTGAGTATTTTAGGGCTTTACCCTTACGTATGGACAGACAGCCATGAACCAGAAATTGAGGGAAGCCTCCAATATGAGAGGGGAGAACGCAGAGGGAAAGGAGCTTGGAGGGAACAGAGATAATGGAGGAAGCAGAAGGAAATTTCAAAACCACTGTAATCAAAATTCTCAAAGAGCTAAAAAAACTCAAACTTGAGCCAAGACAACAAGCTCTTATAAATGAAAACTTGACTTAAATGGTACGCACACTAGGAAATCAGAAGAGAGAGCAGAGGGAATCTTGAAACAAAAAGGTAGGAAAAAAACAGGGATAAAAATTTTAAAAAGGACCAGGCAGATAATCCAGCAGATGAATTATCCAGTGTGTGAAAGTTGTTGAAAGAGAAGGGGGGGCGGGTAGAGAGGGCACGTTATCAAAGAACGAACAGATCTCCCAGGTTGGAAGAGTCATCAGATGGCCGAAACAGGGAAAAAAAAAAAAAAAAAAAAAACGTGGCCAAAACAGTGAATTGAAAAAGGCCTCAGCAAAGGCACACAAAGGTAAAGCCCTGCAAAATTCCCAAACACCAAGGATAAAAAAAGGTTCTACAACTTCTGGAGAGCACAAGGGGGAAAAAAAAAAAAAAGACGGGCGGGGGGGGGGGATCACATAAAAGAGAAAGAAGAAATTAAAACGGCATCATACTGGCCGACGTGAACGACACTGGAAGTCAGAAGACTACTGACCAATGTCTTTCAAACTCTGAAAGAGAATCTTTGCTAACCTAGAATGCTATGCTCAGAGAAACTATCGCTCCTGGATAAGGACAAGACATTTTCAAACACGCAAGGCCTCCGAATTTAGTCCCCATGTACCAAATCTCAAGAAGCTACTCCAGCAAAATGGAGCAGTGGGCCCACAGAAAAGAAGACCTGACTTCCAAGGAGGGCCCAGACCAGGGGTCCCAGGATGCGGGCTGTGGGGTGGGCCTGAAAGCGGCCAGTCCAGACCACAGCAAGGACAGTGGTCTCGAGGAGAAAGGTCACCCAGAAAAAGAGCTCCCCGATAGATTATTTTAATGTTTGACCCACGTAGAAAACAGTACGGTAAAGCTTTAAAGATGTATCTGAAAAGACTTCGTAACAGGTAAGTGAAAACTAAGGAAATTTTTTAAATGCAGCAATTATTAACACTGGGAAAGAGAAAGCTATCCAGAAAAACACAAAAGAAAGAAAAAGATGATCACTGTCTACTATGAGGCTCAGTACCAAAAAAGATTTAGTATGTTATTGCAACAGTACATTGTAACAATGTAAACACTGAATATCAATTTAACTCAAAAAGGAAAACAGGGGAGGTGATGTTTAGGGAAGGAGGTACCTAAAAACTCAATCTATCATATTGACTCAGAAGTCAAGAGATGATACTTAAAATTGATAAATCAAGAAATAGCAGTACAAGCACTTAAAAGAGAAATATGGATATAAATATCAGAAACAATTAACAGCTCAAGTGTGGAAATCAGCTGCCCCTAAAAAGTATGACAGATTGGATTCAAAGGGGTCAGGCAGGGACTGCTGTTTTTCAGTGTGAGCTTTGTAGTACCTTTGAGTATGGTTGTGTGCAAGTATTACCTTCACAAAAGTAAAAGTTAACATTAAAGAAAGTGACTTAACTTCAAACTGAAGGGGTAATTTCTCAGTAGAAGAATCCAGGTAATATTATCTTTGCATTTCAATTTTTATTTTTATAAACAGAAACCCAATTAAATGCCCCCTAAAGTACCCTCTAAAATATTGAGTAAGCAAGAAATATAAAAAGAAATACAACCCAGCTGGTAAAATACATTTTTTTTTTAAAGATTTTATTTATTTATTTGACAGAGAGACACACAGCAAAAGAGGGAACACAAGCAGAAGGAGCGGGAGAGGGAGAAGCACGCCTCCCGCGGAGCAGGGAGCCTGATGCGGGGCTCGATCCCAGGACCCTGGGATCATGACCTGAGCCGAAGGCAGGCGCTTAACGACTGAGCCACTCAGGCGCCCCGGTAAAATATATATTTAATCATTCTTCTGAAGATGATGAGGACTGAAACTAATATAATACTGATTACATCTCACAGCAGATAAATACAAAATCTTTTCCTTAAATCTATCACTGTATTAAACCATGCTCTGGAAAATTCAAAATAAAGAAAACAAGAAGAGGAGGAATATCGTTTATTAGTAATTTTAGTTTTCCACATGTGACTTTTTCCCCTCGTGGACCAGAGAAACGTTAAGCAGATGAAGAGGTGAAAAGACATGGGAATAATTTTTAGGTCAAGCCAAAAGCATCTCTCAGTATTCAGGGAATTGTTCTATGAACTTTTATCCAGAAAGCTCTTCGGTCTGCTCAGCCCATAAAATGAATCAGGACTAATTGGTTTCCCCCCATCCTGACAAACCCTGCAACTCAGGGTATTCTTGCCAACGTAAAGTTCTGACTATATACCAAAGGTAAAATGGCCTTGAAACAAATCAACTCATTAATTCCATTTCTCAGCAAGCCACTAAAAGAAGGTCGTCTTTTATGCAACAAAAAACAGCCTGAGCTTTTTTGTCACGAGCAGGGAGGATGGGTTTAGACACAGAAGACAAATACAATTACCCTCCTAATGAGCCTTTCTAAGTACTGATGGGCACAGGGACAAGGAAGAAGCACAGTAAAGAAACAAAATTTCCAGTGACGTCCTCTAGTTTGGTTCACGATCTAAAATACTGCAAAAACACAGTAGCTCTACAAACATTCCAATGAATAAGCAGCAACACGCACTTCAAAATCACATACACATAGGTTGGTTATCTATAAATAATCTCTAACGCAGAAAATGGAGAACCACCTTCAGCGCCAGAAATGAGTAAAGAAACGTCTTACCTTGTTTAATTTTGAGCAACATGATCTAGCATTAATGTAATCACATTCTAAATCAGACAGTGTAATGATCTGATGACCAAGATAAGGAATTGTAAAACTTCTTTGAGAACTGTTTTTGTCTTTAAGTTTCAGACAGAAACCCAATTGCAGTGCAGAATTAGATTTGACTTGAAAACTTTGTTATTTCCATAAAGTTCACTCATTAGACAACTCAATTTTCTGATTTATATTCCTTCAACAAACTATTTTCAAAATAATCTTATTATGCTCAATTCTAAAGTGACCCACACAAGACCATTCAATCGGAGTTCCTCAAAAATCAGTGACTGTTAAGAAACAGAAAAAAAGACCTCTAAAAACAATTTAAATGTGAAAAACCTGAATTCCCAATAATAGGAAAAGTGTTTATTTATGACAGATCCATAAACTGTCTTTGAAGACTCAAGATGTGAAAAAAGAAAAGATACAAAACTATCAATACAGAGGCGCCTGGGTGACTCAGTCGTTAAGCGTCTGCCTTTGGCTCAGGTCATGATCCCAGGGTCCTGGGATCGAGCCCCACATCGGGCTCCCCGCTCTGCGGGAAGCCTGCTTCTCCCTCTCCCACTCCCCCTGCTTGTGTTCCCTCTCTTGCTGTGTCTCTTTCAAATAAATAAATAAAATCTTTAAAAACAAAACTATCAATACAGGATGGTCCTATGTCCGTACTGGTTATGTCTCCTTCCAGGTGATCTGTTTTCCTAATACTTTTCTCTATTTCCGAAACCTTAAACACATTAAACATACTTTATACTAGAATTAAGCAAAAAATGGTTTTCAGTACCAAATGTAAACTCTCGAGGACATGTGACACAGAAGGAAAAGTCCTCAACTGAACGATACAAGGCCTGAGATTTGCTGTGAAACGCTCCAACATCCCCTCCCCACCCAGGAAAGGAGAAAGCAAAATGCTGAAAGTCACTGTTGGTGACAGAAACTGGGTTTATTTCACTACGCTCTCTACTTTTATGCTTGAAAATGTCCAATGAAACAAGTAAAAATAAATAAATAAATAAATTCACCTAAATTCTAAACATTTCCATATGGATATTCCCCCTAACATCTCAACACAAAGTCAAACTCATCACTTTCTCCACAAATTGCCCGCCTCCAAATGTGTTTTCTTTCTGTCGATGACACAAGCACCATTTGCCCAGGCTCAAACCATGACAAGTTATTTCTGTCATCTGTTTCATATCCCACACCCAGCCTTCCTCCTCACTCCACCCATGAATCCCTCCTTTCACCCGCCCACACTCAGAGCTGTTTCAAACTCACACGGGCCCACTCCCCAGCGGTTTACTTTCCAGTCTTTCCCATTTCCAACCCACTCTGCAGATTCATCTTCCTAATATTCCATTTGCTTATGTCAAAAATGTTCAATGGCTCCCTACTGCCTAGAGGATAAAAGTGAAAGCCCTCCCTGCCTTAACACCAAAACCCTTCAAAATCTGCTCTAATCCAGCCTTTCCCACCTGACCTTCTACTACGACCAAAATCAACCACGTCCTCCAGATGGTCCATTCTTTAACCCGGTCATCCATAAATGCCATAGGGGTGCCTGGGTGGCTCAGTCGTTAAGCGTCTGTCTTCGGCTCAGGTCATGATCCCAGGGTCCTGGGATCGAGCCCCGCATCAGGCTCCCTGCTCCGCGGGAGGCGTGCTTCTCCCTCTCCCACTCCCCTTGCTGTGTTCCCTCTCTCTCTCTCTCGCTCTTGCTGTGTTTCTGTCAAATAAATAAATAAATAAAATCTTTAAAAAAAAAAATGCCATAAACACACCCGAATCTGCACCTCTGCTCTTGCCCGATTTTGAATATCCACCCCTTTCCTTCCGTGGTTTTCTCCATGGTTCAAAGTCCGGGAAAACTATCCCTACAGAACTGCTACTCTGACCATTTTCTACCTCTTGCCTCTAATATTAAGCTAGTGCAACTATCCAAAAATACAGTAATACAATATGCTGAATCTCATCAAAACACACCCTAAACGTACCTGAATGTCTAAGTCAAATATTCCACCTAACATTTTTCCATGCACATAAATTGGTATAAGCCACGCCTATTTTGAACTATTAAGCCGAGCTTGCCAAACTGCAAATACAGAAATCCATGTTTCATTTCTCTGGAAGTCCCAGTTCCTTAGGTCACAAGAGGGACATAGGTCGTCAAAACTTAGGCCCGTGATTCTGCCCTTTCGGTCAGTTCACCAAACCTAAGAAAACTCAAAGTTCTCCCTCGACTGGCTGGCTCGGTTAGTACAGCATGTGAGTCCTGATCTTGGGGTTGTGAATTCCAGGCCCAGCCTGGGTACAGAGATTACTTAGAAATAAAATCTTAAAAGAACACAAAACCAACTCAAGGTTCTCCTCATTAGAATTCATCAGTTCAAGTAAAAAGTGCAGCTAACTGGGGCCGGGGAGGCAGACACGGTGCTGGGGGGCGCTGAAGCCGCGTTCTCGCTGTACACACCCAGAGCTGGGGAGTGAACAGGCCCCGCGGTAAAGATAAGAAACCCCAGGCGGAGAGAGGTGAAGCACTGCGCACAGCAAACATCTAGCTAAGGGGTCCTGACTGCAAATTCCGTCCCTTTCCTCTCCAGCGGGCTGCCCGTCCACAGTACAGCAGGAGGTCACGCTGAAAGCACACGCTACAAACACCCTAAAGCCGGGGTGTTCTGTCAAACAGGAAGTTTACTTCCATCAGAAAGCACTACGAGGGAATTCCAAAGAAAGAAAAACAATGCAACTCCGCATGTTTGTTTCCTAACACGTTAACGACTTGAACTGGAGGGTGCACTGGGCGACGACGAAGACTGGCGGCTCCCCGAGAGCAGGGTGCGGGTCCAAAGCTCACGTGCGGGCCTGGACCCCAGTCTGAGGACGAGCACAGGCGCACCCGGCCCCGCACGGTCCCACGCACGGTCCCCCGCAGAGGGCTGCTCCGGTCCCGGGCCCCGGCAGGCCGCGCACGACGCTCAAGTCCCAGGCGGGGCCCGGCCGCCAAGGCCCCGGCGCCACAAGGGCGGCGGGGGCTGTCGCCCACAGCGACCAGAGGCGGCACGTCGCGTCCGCTTGCCCGGGACCCCAGCGCCCCCCGCGGCCCCGCCAGGGAGGCCCGCCGCCCGGCCGCTCGGGGCGGGGCCGGTGCGCGGCGGCGGGGGCGGCGGGAGCTGCGGGCTTCCCGACGGGCCTTCCCGGCTGGGCCGTCCTCCCGCCCGGCTCGCCGCCCGGGTCCCGGTCCCGGTCCCGGCCGGGCCGCCCTCGCTCCCGCGCACCTGCCGGGCCCCGCCTCAGCCCCGTCCCCCGGGCGCCGGGCCCGGCCGGCCTCCGCCCGCCTCAGGCAAGGATACGAAGTACACCGAGAGGAAGATGAGCGCGCAACAGTCGAGGAGAGAGAAGACGAACACCACCGCCTCCATCCTCCGCCGCCGCCGCCGCCGCCGCCGCCGCTCCTTCCGTCAAACCTGCTCCGGCGCCCGCCGCGCCCGCCCGCCCCTGATAGGCCCTCGCCAGGGCCGCTGGGGCGCGTAGTGCGGGCGCAACAGCGCGGCATGCTTGGAGTTGTAGTCCTCCCTCGAACCACCCGGCCGCCGTAGTTCTGGCACATGCTGGGAAGTGTAGTTCATGAGCACAACACCTGAGCAGGGGACGGGCTGAACGCCACCCTCAATCTGATTCCTTCCAGAATTTATGACAAGAATTAGCGAGCAGGGGCGTCTGGGTGGCTCAGTCGTTAAGCGTCTGACTTCGGCTCAGGTCATGATCCCAGGGTCCTGGGATCGAGCCCCGCATCGGGCTCCCTGCTCTGCGGGGGGGGCCTGCTTCTCCCTCTCCCACTCCCCCTGCTCGTGTCCCCTCTCTCGCTGTGTCTCTCTCTGTCAAATAAATAAATAAAATCTTAAAAAAAAAAAAAAAAGAATTAGTGAGCATTTACTGAACGCTGGTAATCTGCTGGATACCTGGTACAACTTATTATCATGTGCGATTTTTCTTTTGGATTCCGCGCAGGGTCCACAGGATCCCGGACTTGGCAATGCTAAAAGGTTTTCCTCCTGAAGCCCAAGTCTCGCCGGAATAATCCTTGGCTTACAGGTTGAGGCTTGCCCTTCCTAATCTCCGTTTCTCCAGAGGTTTCCCAGTCCCTTGCTTATTCTGTGACAGCAGCGATTCTCTCCACCCTAGACTTTAAGATTTTTGGAAGTGTTGTCATCTCATCCATTCATTCAACAACTAGTTACTGACTCCAGCCCCGCTACCTGCCACGACCTGCCCTACACCGAAGATACAGGAATGTGCGAGGCAGACTAGGCAATAAGTAGCGACCAAATACAGGGAAAAGGTCATCTTAAATGCACATTATATCAAAGTCATACATTCATTCACCCAATATTTTCTGAGCAGCTAGCATATGCCAGTTACTGCACCTTAGGGATACATGATGGGGAAAAGTCCCCGCAGTCCTGTAGCTCCCATTACAGTGGAGGAGACAGAGGACAACAAAATTGTATTAATGACAAGCAGTTTTAAGAAATCTGAAGAGGACGGGGCACCTGGGTGGCTCAGTCGTTAAGCGTCTGCCTTCGGCTCAGGTCATGATCCCAGGGTCCTGGGATCGAGCCCCGCATCGGACTGCCTGCTCCGTGGGGAGCCTGCTTCTCCCTCTCCCACTCCCCTGCTTGTGTTCCCTCTCTCACTGTCTCTCTCTCTCTCTCTGTTGAAAAATAAATAAAATCTTTAAAAAAAAAAAAGAAAGAAAGAAAGAAAGAAATCTGAAGAGGACAGAGGAGGGGAAACAGTTGCAGACTGAGCCATCAGAGAAAGCCAGGCTGAGGAACTGACGTTTAATTTGAAATCTGAACAATAGCTCCCTGATGATTTGCAGGCAGAGTGTTTGCACAGACCCGATTGCTCACAGACACTTGCAGTCTTGAAGAAGAGGAGAGAAAGCAGTGTGGCTGTACTAGGATGAAGAAGGGTGTGAGAGTTTTGAGAGGACATCAGAGGGGGCAGTGCAAGGTCACACACGTCTTGGGAACCCTGGCAAGGAGTTTAACTTCTAATGTGATGATAAACCACAGGACAGTTTTAAGTATAGAAGTACCTTGATGTGGGGGCCCCTGGGTGGCTTAGTCGGATAAGCCTTTGTCTTCGGCTCGGGTCATGATCCTGGGTCCTGGGATCCAGCGTCCTGTCAGGCTCCCTGCTCAGTGGGGAGTCTGCTTCTCCTTCCCGCCCTGCTTTGCTCTCTCTCTCATGTGCTCTCAGTCTCTCTCTCTCTCAAATGTATAAGTAAAATCTTAAAAAAAAAAAAAAAGGTAACTTGTTCTGACATTCTAAAAATATCCTTCTGTTTGGTGCACTAAACGTATGAAAGGGGGACAAGTTTGCAAGGAGACCACTTAGGAGAGAAAAGAATGAATAGGGGGATTGGTGTATTAGTATGAAGGCAAACCAACAGGATTTGCCTGACACAGCATAAGTTCATAGGATCATTAAAGGTCCATAGGTTAAAGCCAGACAGACAGGTAACAGATTATTTATAAACCAGCTATTACTACACTCTCTGCACCTTGTCCACACCTCTATCTGGCTGCTCACACACCACTCCTGGACATGCCCAGCCAGCCATGCCTTAGATTGCAATAAAAGTAACAGATTTTATTAGTGTTTGTGCCCCCAGGACCTTCCACCCTGTAAATAGCTGGAGTTTCAGAAATGTTTGCCAAATGAATGACCTATTTTGACTGTAAGGAGTCATTAAAATTATTCCAGATTTTCTTAACAACATAAACCTCATCTCCCATTCCTCTCAAGTTGGAGCAGAAAACACAGGCTATCCCATGTTCGTTATCTGTTGCTTTATTCTGAGTTAATAAAAAAGGTGGTACCATCATCAAGGGTTAGAGTTACCAGTTCTAATTAAGATAGCCTTTGTCTCATCCTACTTGAAAACTCAAAACATGGTTGCAATGTCAAAACTATGGGGAAGGCAAAATTTTACAGAAGGATGTTGATCAAGATTAAAAAACAATAAGTAGGGTGTGTGTGTATATGTGTGTGTGTGCATATGTGTGAAAGAGAGAGATCAACACTTTTGTTTTAAAATATGGGTTGTATTTTATTTTTTATTTATTTTATTTATTTATTTTTAAGATTTTATTGATTTATTTGAGAGAGAGCACAAGCAGTGGGAGCAGCAGAGGGAGAGGGAGAAGCAGACTCCCCGCTGAGTTGGGAGCCTGACATGGGGCTCAATCCCAGGAGGATCATGACCTGAGCCAAAGGCAGACGCTTAACGACTGAGCCACCCAGGCACCCATAGGTTATATTTTAAAAGTCCAAATTGAACTGTTTCGGTTTCCAGTCTGGCTTGTAAGGAGAGCTTGGAGATTACCACTGGGTCCTAACAACAAATAAAAAGCCAAACACACTGAAAAATCAACAATGCTTAGATCACTCAAAGAAGTGAGGTCACTCCTCCAAACAGAGGAGATAGACAGAGCAGTACAATCACAACTTACCAAGGCAGAAACCTCCGGGAACCAGTACTGGGGCAGGAAATCCTGAACAGTCACTGACAAGAAGCTGGAGGCTCAGTGTGGACCAGCCTGAATATAAGAACTCCAGAGGGCTGGGGCGCCTGAGTGGCTCAGCTGGTTAAGTGTCTGACTCTTGACTGCAGCTCAGGTCATGATTTCAGGGTTGTGAAATCGAGCCCCATATGGGGCTCTGCGCTGGGCCTGGAGCTGGCTTGGAATTCTCTCTCTGCCCCTCCCCCTCCCTCTCTAAAAAAACCCAAGAACAAAAACAATAAAGAAAAAGACTCCAGGGGCCACACTACTGTTCATCTTACCTCCTCGAGTTCTCCAAGGTTTTCCTAGTGAAGATCAAAGAAAAACCCTCTTCCAACAGGGGAAGGCAAAGAAGTAGCCATTTGAAAATGCTAGAGTGGGACAGTGTTACTTGAAAGCAAACTTGGTTTAAGCATAAATGTATAATGCAAACTCTAGGGCAACCACTAAAAAAAAGTAAAAGAAGTGTAATTGATATGCTAAGAAAGAAGAGAAAAAAGGAATCATATAAAATGCTCAAATAAAATCCCAAATGGCAGTGGGGCGCCTGAGTGGCTCGGTCAGTTAAACATGTGACTCTCAGTTTCGGCTCAGGTCACGATCTCAGGGTTGTGGGATCAAGCCTCCTGTCAGGCTGCGACAGCACAGAGTCTACTAAAGGTTCTTTCTCTCCTCTCCCTCTGACTCCCCACCCAAGGTCCTATGCTTTAAATAAATAAATAAAATCTTTAAATTTCCTTTAAAGTAAAGCTTAATTAAAAATAAATAAATAAGGGCCACCTGAGTGGCTAGGTTGGTTAAGCAGCTGCCTTGGGCTCAGGTCCTGATCCCAGAGTCCCGGGATTGAGCCCTGTGTCAGGTTCCCGCAGGGAGCCTGCTTCTTCCTCTGCTCCTCACCTTGTTCACTCTGTCGCTCTCTCACACTTTCTCAAATAAATAAAATCTTAAAAATAAATAAATAAATAAATAAATAAATAAATAAATAAATAAATAAAATCCCGGAAGGCAGAAAAAGAGTACAAGACAAAAATAGGAACAAAGACCAAGGCAACAAATAGAAACCAGTATGATAGCTATGAATCCAGCTTTATTGATCATCACCTTTTTTTTTAAGATTTTATTTATTTATTTGACAGAGAGACCACCAGAGAGAGAACACAAGCAGGGTAAGTGGGAGAGAGAGAGAAGCAGGCTTCCAGACGAGCAGGGAGCCCGATGTGGGGCTCGATCCCAGGACCCTGGGATCATGACCTGAGCCGAAGGCAGATGCTTAACGACTGAGCCACCCAGGCGCCCCTTGATTATCACTTTAAACGTCAATGGTCTAAATATACAAATTATAAGACAGGGATTATCCTAGTGCATCAGAAAACAAGACTCAGGGCGCCTGGGTGGCTCAGATGGTTAAGCGTCTGCCTTCAGCTCAGGTCATGATCCCAGGGTCCTGGGATCAAGTCCCGCATCGGGCTCTCTG